TTAGTCGAGTCTCTCAGAGATTTGCACAGATTTGATACTGCAAATGTGCAATTCTCATGGTTCATCATAACAGTTGTGATCATGTGGTTTCTGACTGGTGACTGCTGCCCATAACTTACACTACTCACAGTTATATCACCACTACTGCTCTTTGATGCTAATATTGTACACAATATCATCCTATTATACAATAGCCCTAGTAACTTCAGAATATTGGTGTGTCCCAACTAGCACGTTACTTGTTTTGAATTTAGTCTTTGCCTATGTCTTTCAGTTTCATACACTACATCCACTCAAGGGTGTCGGATTTTCTAAGAATTTTCACCACTTTTTTCCATCACAGATCATGCTTTTTCAGCATTTTATGTGACAACCTATTGACCATTGCTTTCTTAATGCTTTAAGAAACCATTTCATCGGTGTGTTGCCATCATCTTTCGAGCTTCTTGGAGGGTATTAAAAACTGTGCATGCTGGAAGAGTGATCTGGGATAAACACTTGGCTAACTTTGTTTGGCACTGATGGATCAACGGACACTCAGAATCGAGTTACTTGTGCAAGGGCCTAGCTTCTCTGTGCAGATGTGGTCAGATCCTAGCACAAGCTTATGACTTAACTCTTGTTATTGCCTCAATGTTCAGAAAGTAGGAGTAGATCATGGGATGAAGGCTGTATTTGTTGATTAATGCTACCCCACACATTGGAAGCTGAGTTCTGCTTTCTGGTATCTTCCTCAGAGAAAGATGTTCTTAATTTCAAAAAGGAAATGTAGATGATTCATTACAGGATCTACTAGAACCAGTGACAATGAGTCACTCCATGGATTTGAAGTAGTTGGAGTGGCTAATTCAGTTACCAGCCCAGTTTTTCCTTCTCTTGCTACAGTGAAGTACAATTTCTTCAGTGATTAGCTCCAAATGGGGGGAATTTAGATGGCCTTGCACCTGCAATTTATTTGTTTCTGTGGAACTCAGCTGCCTGCTATATTTCTCCACCTTACCCATCCTTCAAGTGATAGCTTTCTTTGCAAAATTGTCTTCCTCCTTCCTGTCAATGTTTTCTCAAGATAGCCATCTGGTGGGGTGCACTCTACCGTTTCCTTCTTTTAAGTTCCTCATGGCTAACGCTTCTTTGTTAGCTGATTTACTTACATCTTTCTCAAGATATCACTGCGGTTAGGATCCTGGCCTTCTGCTGGTGGTGGACCCTGAGTCACACGATCTGTTTCCTACTTCTAGAACTTTACTGAACGTTTTATTCCACTCACTAATACCTAATGACCTGCAGACATGAATGAGTTCTGAAACAAACACTACTTCCAAGATTGACTCCCTTTGCTACCGGACACCTCTACCTAGATGTCTAATGAGTATCACCCATGTAATAAGTCCAAATATGAATTCCTGATCTTTCTTCCAGATCTTCCAGTGTTGAACATCTTCTTAGGTAATGTTGAAACGTGAGGTCAAAGAGACAACACAGTTCATGTAAGTCTGGAATCCCTCACTTCCTCTCCCCCCAGTCTAAATCCTCCATCTACCTTCAAAGCAATTGCAATCTAAACATTGTTATCACTCCCTTCATTCATCTTATCAAAAGCGGTCTTAACATGTGTTAGTCTACTTCATCACATTTTGTTTTCAACACTGCAGTAACACTCTACTTGTCCAAATATATCAAATGATGTTTTAATGACTTCTGATCTCCTTCAAAGTCTAAGAAATGTCTACAAGGGCCCGTTTGACGCCCCTCTGACCCCACCCTTAACTGGTGTCCTTGGTCAGTCAACGAGGTTAAGCCTCATTGGCCCTATACTCTCCCAAGTCAGCCACACAGGGCCTCTTTATTTATTGGTGTCTCTTCCTAGAATGCTCCTTCTCATGTTTATTCTCTCAGTGTAGTTTCCCCTTCTGAAGGAGGCGTTCTTGTATGATACCACTGTGTTCTCATCTAACACATCTGAAACTCCAGATTTTTCAATCTCCATTTTTTTTTTACCCATTATCTAATGCATTATATGGTTTGTTTCGGTAAGGTGTTTCATTCTAGTAAAACCTCAGTGAAGGCCAATATTTCTATCTAAGTAATGTCTACCTCTAGTCCTGAAAACAGCGCTTCCTAACAAACACATAACATTTGTGAATGCATGAAGATAATGCAAGGTGACCTTCGCACTTTGAGGGCTTTGGTCACTGTTGTGGATGGGTATTACGGAACACCTAGTGTGCCAGGTACGATGACACTAAACTTAAGGCATCTTACAAATTTGTAAAGCCTCGCTAAAAATAACCTCTTAGTCAACCATAAAATTGATTTCACACACGATATGTGACTATTTAAAGGTAGTCAAAACAAGCAGGAACTTCCTAATAATTATAATTTCACGCAATCACATAACTTGTGCAATTATCAATACAGAAGCAAGTTAATTAATACCTTAAAATTCTTCCTATAAGGATATGACAAACCTATATTCACGAGTAACAGCTGGGGGTATATGTCACGGCACAGTGAGCGAAGGCTTTGCTTCGGATGCCCACATCCATTCTGGAGTCTTGTTGTGAACCCTGGCTGCTCTGCTCTCCTAATCCAGCTTCCTGCCAAAGCACCATGGAGGCAAGAGACAACGGCTTGGGAGCTTCAATTCCCGCTTCCCAGAAGGCGATGTGGCTGGAGCTCCTGGCGCTGGATTTAACTTGGCCTACCCTTGCTGGCTGCTGCATACATCTGACGAGTCAACCAGTGAATGCAAGACTGTTCTCTCTCTGTCAGTCTATCAAATAAATCAATATATCTTTTGAAAAGTTAGGTAGGGCCCGGCAGCATGGCCTAGAAGGTAAAGTCCTCGCCTTGAATGCACCGGGATCCCATATGGGCGCCAGTTCTAATCCCAGCAGCTCCACTTCCCATCCAGCTCCCTGCTGTGGCCCGGGAAAGCAGTCAAGGATAGCCCAAAGCTTTGGCACCCTGCACCCATGTGGGAGACCTGGAAGAAGCTCCTGGTTCATGGCTTCGGATCGGCGCAGCACCGGCCGTTGTGGTCACTTGGGGAGTGAATCATCGGACGGAAGATCTTCCTCTCTGTCCCTCCTCCTTTCTGCGTATCTGACTTTGCAATAAAAAAAAAAAAATCTTAAAAAAAAAGGTAAGGTGTTCCAAAACAATAATGATGTCATCTCATTAGTAAAATGAACACAGCACTGTGGTTCATGATACTTACAAAAATGACAAAGTAGAAAGGCAAATAAACTCATACAGGTGAGGGATTCAGTTACCTAGTCTTTCAGATGGTTACACTGTAGTTATAACACAGACTGTAAAGTTCTATAATCATGAGCTTAGACAAAATGCAACAGGACAGCTTACCTGATGTATTGATTTAGGGGAAAAATCGAGGGTGCAAAAACCTGAAACTTATATAATAAAGTCTCAGCTAAAAGCTGAATATAAAACAAGGCCAGCCTTAAGAGTTGCCAGCCTAGTCTTGGCAAGTGGAGAACAGCTCTATGCTCATTTTTAGTATTCTTAACAGGTTGCACTTCATTCGTCTCCATCATTAATCCTAATTATTGACAATCTACTTAGTCCTCTCTTGCTCTGAAGTTTTCAAAGGGGTAAACTTTTTTTTGGCTCCAGATAGCGCTTTACTAGCAATTGTGGAAAGTTTAGAAGGTGTTGTTTGTATGCATAATGAAAAAATTACTTCGAATTATTTTACTGGATTGCTTTTATAATAGGAATCTTGCATTCTTGGAAATATGGTAGCAAGTTTTGCATCTAGCTAGTTTTGTGTATGCTATTTTTTCAAAATCATTTATTACTGATTTTCATTTTATTTGAAAGACAGACAGCCAGACTAAGTGTTCCACCTGCTGATTTTCACTGCTCAGACGTCGGCAGCCACCAGGGCTGGGCTACTGCAAAGCCAAGAACCTGGAATTCAATCTGGCTGTCCTCCTTGGCAGGCAGGAACCCAAGTAAGATGATCCATCACCTTGCCACCTCCTGCGTGAGCAATGGGAACCTGCATTGAAAGAGGAGCTGCCAGAACCCCAAACACATGCCCCATACGGGCTAGGGGAATTCTAACAAGTTATTTAACTACCCCTGTTTGTTTACGTTTAAGACGCTTTAAATTTTTGATGATTAAAAAAAGATGTTCAATTTATATTTGAAAGTTAGAGTTACAGAGAGAGGGAAAGACAGAGGTTTTCTATCTGCTGGGTCATTCCTCAAATGGCTGCAACACCAGGAGATCTCCCACACGACTTCAGGGACCCAAGCCCTTGGGCACACCTTCCGCTACTTTCCTAGGCACATTCTCAGGGTGCTGGACCAAAAGTGGAGCAGCCGGGCCTTAAACACATACCCATAGGATGCCAGCCAGCATGGAGGCAGTGCCCAAACTCTCTGCTTCACAATGTGAACCTCTAACTTCTTGATAACTTGAATCACTTAATTTAAAAAAGAAATTTAAGGACCTGGCACTGTAGCCTAGTGGCTAAAATCCTTGCCCTGAACGTGCCAGGATCCCATATGGGCACTGATTCTAATCCTGGCAGACCTGCTTCCCATCCAGCTCCCTGTTTATGGCCTGGGAAAGCAGTCGAGGATGACCCAAAGCCTTGGGATCCTGCACCCACATGAGACCCGGAAGAAGCTCCTGGCTCCTGGCTTCAGATCAGGGCAGCTCCAGCCATCGTGGCCGCTTGGGGCGTGAATCATCAGACAGAAGATCTTCCTCTCTGCCTCTCCTCCACTCTTTATATATCTGACTTTGCAATAAAAATAAATAAATCTTAACTCAAGAGCAGACTTCTAACTGACTCACTTCTTGACAGCACAGAATGCTGGCGGTGGTGCTGGCTGAGCTCACTGGGCCCCTGCTCCCCATGCGGAAGCCCTGGCTGCACTGCAGGCCTGCCCTTGACCTGACCTGGATCCCAGCCATGACGAGCACTCGGACAGTCCATCAGCAGAGGGGAATTCTCTCTTCCTTTGTGCGTCAAATGAATGTATAAAATAACAAGAGAGAATTTATCTGGTTTGCAAGGGTTATTCAGGTGCTTGAAAAGAATATGTTTACTACATTTAAAATATGCTATAGGAGGAAAGGTCAATTTGTTTTTAAAAATTTAAAAGGAAATTAACAAATATGCAGAGTTAAATATCTGGAGATAATTTATTAAAATGTAATAAAGTATAAATAAAATGTTTCATATTTGCATGAAATACACTGGAGAGAGGATAAATAAACCTAGTTTAAAATGTGAACATGAATGAACACAGTAATTGCCAGTGTTCCTTCTACACTTGAAAACTCTGACACTGAAAAAATTATCAATCACTTCCAAGCTGTTTTTGTTTCAATATTAATATGAGACATTACTTAATTACCAACACTGAGTAACACAGAACCCAATTCAGCGTACAACATTGTTTTAAATTTTCAGCTCCCAAGGATCATCATTCATAACAATCACTTATTTTTCTTAAGCGCTCTCATTGCGAAGTACATATAACACATTAGGAATTAAAAGCGTAAACTTTTACTTGATAAGAACAGTAGATATAAAAAATTCTTAACCTGAGAATAAATTCTTTCTTTATAATGCACTATTTCAGGAAAGAGAAGGAAAAAAATCCATTTAAGCAACAGTAAATACACATTTGGAAAACATATGTATTTTAGAAATTAGTGCCTATCTATGTTACATGAAAAAAAGGCACAACAGTGTAACAAATTCAGACCACAATCAGAATGAAAAGTTTAGTGACCAAGAGAAAAGCAATAAGAAAAAAACCACCTACTGACAGAAGAACTCACTGTGCTATAAAAGTGTCAGCTGTACTAGCAAAGCAGCCGCCACACTGCAGCTAGTTCAACTATGACCAGTCCCTCACTGGCCTGCGGGCTGCTTACAGGGTCAGAGCTGACAGCCATCCTTCCAGCCAGGAACTCACCACTGCAAACAGCCACTAGCATGTCTGTTGAATTAAAGTATTCTAAAAATGTTAGTAAGAACCAAAACATTCACATTATATTTACAATTTATTTCATCCCCCAAATATACTCATTTTGTATATGTCAACAAAACTTTTCAAAAATGATTATAAAAGATATTCATATGTAACAATAGTAACACGAGTAGAATAAGTTAACACAATAAACAACATAGTTATGGTTGATCAGAATAATGGCAACTTCTGCTCTGAAGGAAAATAATTTGGTTTGCATTTATCACATATTTACAAGTTTAAACTGAAAGCGACCAAAATTCTACTCAAAAGCAGGTAATGCTCTATGCTAATAATGCTTTAAAATAATCTCTCTTAGGATGGCCAGATTCTTAAAAAATAAGTGAAAAGCGAGACTTTTTCAGTGACTGCCTTTGTGCATCAGATAGTTTGTTTGATATGCGGAATATAGTATGAAGGTCACACACAGTTACAAAGATGTATGAAAAGAAAGGCCTTGTGCATAAATATAGATATACATTAATACTAGATATTAAAAATATCTCTAAATTTATGGTATCACTTAGCAATGACTTGCTTAAAAATACAACACACTATTTATTAATCTATGTGCAAAGTCGAAGACTTTCCTCTAAGTATGCCTTGATTATGCACCTATCACTAGCTAGGGACATGCACGTGGAAAGGAATCCAAAGTTAATTTGGTGTTGTAAGAGGAGTTACTGCCAAGTTAACTCACAAAGGAGATATCTCCACCGTGGGCTGTAAAGTACAGACAGAAACTTGCAAGGTTGGATTTTTTCCATAAGGCATTTAAAGAGAGCTGTTCAAACAGATATGTTTGAAAATGTGCATAGTAGTTGCCATAGCAATGAGCAATGTGTCTGTCATTTTCCTGGAACTTAGAAAGGAACTATTTCAAGCTTATGCAGCTTAAAACCACAGTTGTTTTATTATGCAACAAAGCTACAATTCCATTGTTATATACACTAACAAATCTGTAATTTCATTAAAGTGCTTGGCCATTTCAGATGACTAATTATCCAGATCGTACTATTTTTATGTCTCGAATGCAATAAACACATTCTTGATACTTTTTTGTAATGCTAATACTTTCATGAATGTGGGTGAAATGTAATGTCAACTAGTAGTATATACACCATACATTATTGCTATGTTCCATACATGGGTGCTACAAAAAAGCGTTTGTAAGACAGTTTTAACGATGCCTTATTTTTGTTTTTGTTCAGAGTGAAATTTGGGTTCTCACTAAAGATAATTATATATGCTCCATTTAAAATCTTTAATTGAATCCTCAGGAAGGAGTTTACATATATTCCATCATCTTCCACAGTTAATATGCAATACGTTACAAAATAAATCTTCATATTGACTTACTTTAAAACTATACAGGACACAGGGATCAAATAATAAATTTTTCAACAAAAATATTATTCAATCAATTACTTTATCCAAGGAATACTAAATGAGCCATTTAAAAGAAAGACAACACAAAACTTGTATTTCCCAAGAAAAATGAGATTGAAGATAAAGCTAAATTTTTCCACTTATATAGATGTCTTTCATTCTAGCCATAAAAACTACTAAGTGCTAATATTCTAGGAAATCCATCCTACAACTGGAATTATCAGACACATCAATTTTTCCATAAGCAAAATAAATTAAATTTGAAATACCTAATTATCTGCATCTAACATTATCTACTAAACACAATCTCATTTGTGGTGACTGATGACTGCCACCTTGTGGACGGCACTTCTCAAACCTCTAAGACTAATGATTTAATTCTGGTTTTTTAAGGCTGGTGATTCCATTCAAAGTTTTCTCTAGGACACTGAAAAGAAGAAGCAAGATTCTTTTGCATTGCTTTATCTCCTTTATAGGTATCATTTGTGTATTCTTATTTAGATTAAGATATTACATTTATGTAAGAAGATAGTATAAACTTTTAAAAAATAACTATTCAAATTATTCAGCCACTCTTCCTTTAAATTCAGAAGCACTGCTTCTGTAATGCCACACGATGACATGAGCATGCACATTCAGTTAATTCTATGAAGTTTTTATTGAAAGAAAACAAAACACACAACCACAAAAGCTGAACTGAAGGAACGTAGAAATGTCCCGAGTGCTTTCATGGTTCTCTAGTTACCATGTATAAAACAAAGTTTTAAAATTACTTCGGAATAAAGTGAAGAATAAATAAATTTGATAAGCTGACTGAAGAGTACAAGTTCAAAATATTACTCTGTCTTCCTGTGTTCTTCCCCACCAGAGGGTGCTGTTCAAAGTCCCACAGCTATTATCTTCTTCCTCCTGTTCTTTACTGAGTTCTACAAAAACCTGCATGAAAAGAAATCAATTGATAAATTAATCTCTGGATTATCTCAAGGAACCTTCAACTTCATCAGAAATGGCCTAAGCCTATATTTAATTAAATTATTGACTATACAAATGATGTAGTATATTCACACTGATGGAAACAAATGAGTCACCTTTATGCATTACATGTAAAAATGAATGTTATTTTCATGGGACTCTTTAATTTTTTGCTTTAATGTATTATGTAGCATTATCATAATTTTAAAATGTTTAAATAACAGGATTTCAGATATTCCAATAAATACTCTCCTGACTTGCTTTCCTTATCAAAATTGAACTACTGAGCTACTCAAACTGGCAAACAGAAATGATCCTGACTTAGTTACTGCACATTGTGCATTCCATAAACATATATAAACATCATTTGTCAACTAAAAACAACAGATGATTAAGGAAAATTTCCAAAGAATTAAGCAATACATAACCTAAAGTAATACAAAGCTTATGGTTAATCTATAATAATTTGTCTCTGGTTCAAAATCTCTTTACAATATAAACATAACTCATGTTAGACACTTTCTTCTATAAAATCATTTTTAAAATTTCAACTTTTTAGTACCTGTTCAAGTGTTGCTTGAGAAAAGCTATATTCTTCAATGGCAAAAGTATGTTTAGCTATCAAAATACAAAACAAAATTACTTATTACTATTATTAGAGAACAAGACTGCTTAACTGCTGATGTAGCTAACAATTTCTATCTAAAACTCCCCAATGAAGTAATTCAGTGTGAAGCTTCTCCTTTCCTTCTGTCCTCTTCGCCATGCCCACATCTGCCAGCCTAGAACTCGTGCACACCCAAGTCTGCCCTTCGCCATGCCCACATCTGCCAGCCTAGAACTCGTGCACACCCAAGTCTGCCCTTCGCCATGCCCACATCTGCCAGTCTGAGAACTCATGCACACCTAAGTCTGCTTCCTTCTGTTCTTCCTGTATCGTCTTGTTTGTCACTGGTTTTCACTTTTCTTTTTGCTTTCCATCTCAATTTCCCCTCTTTGTTCCCCACAAATCTCCTCCCTGAATCCTCCTTCTTCCACTACCTGTGCTTTATCCCTCAACAACGCCATTGTGGTTTACTGTCATGTCTGCTTGGAGTATAATCTGATGATGAATTTCTATATTACATTCACCTCTTTAATTATCCTTAAAGAACTCATATGTTCCTTTAAATCACAATAAGCCATGAAACTTTGCCTAGGTGAACGCATTTAACAGGCACAAAAACAGAAAAAAATAAAGGAGAGATAGAAAAAAAATCAACATATAAACCCATTGCTGTGAGATGGCAATGTGTAGTATCAGGCACTTTTTTACATTCAGTGTTCACAGAATAAAAATATTTTAAAAATTAGTTACTTTGAAAAGTACTAATTTTGATACATCTTACATATTAACATAGACTCCCCATAATTTATAAATGTGAAAAAATTTTTATATGAACACTGGCCCCATCAAAGAACTTATCCCTTTCTGCTGCCACCATGTACTTATGTGACCCAGCACTTCTTTTTAAAATGCCAACACTCCGTAAGCTTCTTTAGAACTCCGAGGAGTGTCCATTCTAGTGAGGGTGAATGCTCTCGTATTGTTACCACCTCTTTGGCCTGACAGCAAGCAAGGATTCAGGAAGCTCCATGTTTCTCCTGCAGGACCGACTGCTAAGAGGTAACCAAGCTGACTTTTGCTGGCTGTGGCATCATCAGCTGCAATGCTGTCCACTGAAGATTAGGAGAGGTTTACACCTCTACACCGTAATTCCAGCGGTTTACAAAACACATTCAGAACTAGTATTTATCCACAGTTTTAGTAACATCAGTAAAAAGTATTTTATTTCCCATTGTTCCCACAAACTGAGCTCATAATTCTAAACTTCTAAAATGCATTTTCTTCATAATTTGAGGACTACCTCTGCAGTGTTTTCCAAATACCACGTACCTTCTTCCAGCTTGGAGAAAGACTGTGCGAGAGACTGAACATCTTCCTTAGGGATTTTAAAAGCCAAAATAGAAGAAAAACTGAAAACAAAGGTAAAACATAAAAAAATTTTAAAATTACTACACTTTGCTCTTTAGTTAAAAACTTCAGAATCCCTAATTAAATTCTAATCATGTAATTTTTTATTTATTTGGGTAACAATGTATTTAAAATGGTAAGCTCTATACGCAGTAAGATGATTCTATTATTGCCACTGGATGAGAAGAAAGTTTAAAATACAAACAAACATGGAGACATCTAATAGTATGGTAAACATACAACTCCGTGCATTAGGCTCATTGGTACAGCAGCAACACTGGCAATACTACAGCTTAATGGAAGGCGCATATACAGAAACGCTAGCACAGACCATGGATGTAAAAGAACTTTCTTGTCCTTAAAAGCCTGTTATGAATATTATTCTGGAAAGAATATAACTACTTTTTTTGGTTTACCTTTCCTGACGGCTTGCATTTGGGAAAATATACAGAATTTGTCTTTGAAGGCGGTCTATTTCTAGGTCTTCTATCCAGTCCTTTAATTTAATTTCCAAAAAGTATCCTCTTCCGAATTTACTCTTTAGATGTTGTACTGTCCCAATACATCTGAGTTAATTTTTAAAAGAAAGATCAAACACAAAATGGCATGACTATTCCAAAGACTGATGTCTTACTTCAATCTATAGCAAATATTAAGAAACATGTGAGGAATTTATAATATATTTACACTTAGCAAACGATGTAAAGGTAACCCAGCATCTGCATAGTTCCCTCATGCGTGTCACCTGACACGAAGGGATTACTCTGACACGTTAGCCAACACCGAGTGACCTGCCTGGTCTGCCACGATCCACTCAACTTCAGAACCAGGTGGATTTCCACAGGGTGCGCTTGTGCCCAGGGTCTGCCCCACTGGCACTTGGCTGCCAGGTCTCCTTGTTTTCCAGCAGCACGTGGCAGCTCCTCAGCCTCCTTCTCCTCTGTGACTTGCACAGTCTTGAGAAACACCTGTCAGCTGCTTCGGCACACCGCTCCTCAGTCAGGGTCCGTCTGATGCTTTGTGCATTATACTAGGGTTACAACTTTGAAGCAATGCTACATGACTAAACTACCCTTTGCAGAGCTGTACAGCAAAGGGACATAATATATCCACATAATTTTTATTCACTTAAGGTATTATTTTGTCAGGCTTCTCAACTGTAAAGGTGTTACTTACCCCTTCTCCTATTCTACGCTTTAGAACTAGTACAGGGAAGGTTACACTCAGGGTGCTAGAGAGAAAAGCTTCCCATCTTAGGACTGTTCTGCGAAGAATACTTGTCTCTTTTCTTACATTCAATCATTAATTTATCTAAATATGAATGCATATTTTATATTTTGTGCTATAACCTAATACAAGCCTAGCAAGTTTTAAAATAACAGTATTTTGCATGAAATAACATTTCAAGTTACTGAGTAATTAAGGTGAATCCAGATGCAAAGTAGCTTGTTGTATTTAAGAATAAAAAGGACAGTTCCAGGTGACTGTATAGAAAAGTAACTGACACAAAAGTACAAATAAGGAAACACTTCTTAACACTTGGATGAACACAGAGTAAGCTTCTCAAATGACAACATCCAAAATTTCCTTGCTGCTGTCATTTCTTCAACGCTCTTGTTCGGCTCTCTGGTACCTTAGCTGCCCTGACACCATGATAGCCACTCGGTCACAGACAGCTTCTGCCTCTTCCATGTAATGAGTGGTCAGAATAGCGGCTCGTTTTTTGTTTTTAAATGCAGTTCGAATTGCTCGCCTGAAACAAAACAAAACATGCAGAAATTTTAAAAAGGAATGCATCTGTTAATAATAATATTGTTTTAAAATATTTAATGACTTAATTTGGCTAATTAAAACTAACCAAATAGCAACTGTTCTATCATTTTTTGTAAATTTGTTTTCATTAGTTTTGCAAGCTTGTCCAATGACAAGAAACTGTTTGTAAGAGTTAAAAGGCTAACTAATGAATCATAAAAATTAATGTCTCTTTAAGTTGTCAGAAAAATAGAATCGAAAAGAAAGCAGGAGTAACCATGGTTAGAGGAAACACACTGTTAGTCAAAGACAGTAAAAAGAAACAACATTATTATACAGTGATAGAGTTTAATACAGCAAGAGGAAATAGCTCTTAACAGCTACCTCTACGCATGCAAATACATAAAGCAAATCTTAACAGACCTAAACAGATGGATTCCAATATCACAAAAGCAGGGAAAGTTCACATCCCTCTTCTAGAAATGAAAAGATCAGGTCGCCTGACAGAAAATCAACAAAGAGGGTGGAACTGTGGGACAGTAGTTTAAGCTGCCGCCTGCCATGCCATCATCTGAATACTAGTTACAGTCCCTGCAACTCCACTTCCAATGTGCCTGGGAAGGCAGCAAATGATGTAAGGAACTGGACCCCTGCCCACGATGTGGGAGATCTGCATGCAATCCTAGATCCATGGTTTGGATCTGCCCCGGCCCTAGTCACTGTGGGCAGTTTGGAAGTGAACCAGTGCATGAAAGGTCTGTTTTTCCCTCTCTCATAACTGTGCTGCTCAAATAAACAGATCTTAAAAACAACAACAACAAAAAGCCAGCCTGGCACAGTAGCCTAGTAGCTAAAGTCCTTGCCTTGCGCATGCTGGAATCCCATATGGGTGCCAGTTCTAGTCCCAGAGGCCCTGCATCCCATCTAACTTGCTGCTTGTGGCCTGGGAAAGCAGTCAAGGATGGCTCAAAGCCTTGGGACCCTGCACCCGTGTGGGAGACCCGGAAGAAGCTCCTGGCTCCTGATTTTGGATTGGCTCAACTCCGGCCACTGCATCCACTTGGGGAGTGAATCAGCAGACAGATTCCATCTGTATATCTGACTTTCCAATAAGAAAAAAAAAGTCTTCTATCAAAAAAAAAAAAAAACAAAAAACAACCTAGGACCCAATGAACCCACTGATAAATTTTATTAGAAACTTAAAAAAATCAACACCAGAATTTTTAAAAAGAAATAGAAAAAATACTACTAAATTTTGTATAAGTTCATAAAAGACTTCATACAGTCAAAGCTATGAACAAAACAGGAGGCATTACCCAGACTAACTTTAATATCTATTACAACACAATAGTAATTAAAGCAACATGCTACTGATATAAAAACAGATGCATAGCCCAATAGAACAGAGAGTCTGGAAGTAAATCCCTATACTTAAAACCAACTCATGTTTGACAAAGGTGCTTCGAACATGCACTGGAAGAAGGACAGTTTTTAAAATCAAGGATGCTGAGAACATAAGAGCACCTGCCTAGAGAAGAATGTGACTAGATGCCTATCCTCACCACGGACAAAAATGGACCAAAACTGAACTTGAAAATGACTTGAAACTTTGTAGCTACTAGAAGGAAACATAGGGCAAATACTTCAGGGCACTGAAAGAGGCAGGGATTGACTTGGGGCACATAGTAAACAAAGTAAAAATAGCAATCAAGGCAAAAACAGAGGGTTGACCAAACTAAAGAGATTCCACAAGGTAAAAGAAATAATAAGTACAGAAAAGAGACAACCTACAGGACAGGGAAAAGATGACATGACAAGCAGTCAGTGTCCAGAATATATACAAAACCCAAACAGCTCAACAGCAAAACACTCAAGCCATCCAACTAAAACTAGGCAACATGGGGTAAGTGCAGCAGCCCCTGTGGTGCTGGCATCCCAGTGGCGGCTGATTCTGGTCCCAGCTGCCCCACTTCAGATTCGGCTCCCCGCTAATGGTTGGGAGAGCCGCAGCAAAGGACTGCCCTGGCACCCATGTGGTAATCCTGCAGGAAGCCTCTGGCTCTCAGCTCTGGCCACTGCAGCCACTTGCAACCAGTGCATGAACGATCTCTATCTTCCCCTGCCTTGCTCTAGAACACTTTCAAGTAAAAATAAATAAACCTTTAGGAAATGGGCAATGTACCTAAACACATATTTTTCAAAGGAAAATATACTAATATCCAACAAGCACATGAAAAAACACTCAATATTGCTGTCAGGGAAATGCAAATCAAAATCAGGTTATATCACCTTACACTGGTACAGTAAGATCGATTGTTCTCAAAATGAGAAAAGATAAGCACATGTGTTAACATGATGTGGAGAAAAAGGAAACACTGCACATGTTGGTGGGAAAGTAAGCTAAGACAGCCACTGTGGAAAACTGTGAGCGTTCCTCAAGAAACTAGAACGGAATGACCGTATGCTCCAGAAAGCCTGCCTCTGGGTGTGTACTCAGCCGGTCGCAGAAACAGCTGCACTGCTTGATCATTTTAACACTATACAAAATAAACAGAAACTGCTCAAGCATCCATCCTCAGATAAATGGATAGAGAGAAGGTGGCATCCAACACAATAAAACACTACTCAGCCATAAAGAAGACTGAACTCTTGTCACATGCAACAACACAGGAACTGCAAGTCACCAAGAGCAACTGGCCAAGCACAGATAGACAAGACCCACTGAACCGCAGCCTAGAAAAGGGGGCCTCTTCTAAGCTAAGGGCATACAGTGCTTACCAGACACGAGGGAAAGTGGGAGAGACTGATGAAAGTCCATTAATGAGTATAAGTTATGGCTAGGTAAATAAGCAGTTCTAGGGATCTGATGTATAGTAGGATGACTGTGATCTTAATATGCTGTATATTAACTCTAAAAATGGAGTGGTAAACTTCTTCCCTGGGGCCATTTGGGTATTTATAATATCATTTGTGGGCCATACAAAATTGCCAACTTAAAAATTACCCTACGATAGATTTTCTTTTGACGATTCCCTAATTTTATCATTTTTCTTAATTTTTACTTATTTAGGTATTAGCAGTCAACATGGTTCACAGTCACAATGCTGAGGATATGATACTCCCTGCCTCCCTTTTGTTCTTTTTTCTTTTTCCTTTACTTCTTTCTGTCCTTTTGTCTGTCTGTCTTCCTGTTTGTAAAGTGACACATATTTAATTTTCAATACAGAAAAGGGCTAAATGCTCCACCAAGTAAAAACTTTAAAAAGTAAAAAGTAAAGGACTGTAGTTTGGCAGTGACATAGACAAGGGCTCTAAACCATAAACAGACGGGAGCATGACCATCTCACCCACACACAGTGAATCTTACTGTGAAAAAAATCACTAAGCTATAGCAATATAACATCCGCGGCCATAACTCTGACAAAACTATAGTGGCAGCAATACTGATACATACAAGCAATTTTTAATTTGACTTTTAAATTTTACATCCCGCGGTGTTTGTCTTTTTGTATTTGGCTTATTTTCCTTCATCTTGCCTGTGGTTACCTTAAATGCTTTCACAGGCCTGATATGGCCCATGGGCCAGATGTTCGCCATCTCTGCAAGATGAAAAACAGCTAGCAGATGGGATTTCAGATGCTTCCAACATAAACAATGCTACATGTTTGATTACAAAGATAGTTAACCTGACTGAAAGGCTACATGGTGTGTGTATGTGTGTCTTTTTCTCTCTTCTATACATGTATGAACATCCTATGATATCCCATAAATAAGTATAATCTTTACATGTCTGTAAAATAGTTCAGCTAGACTTTTAGAAATTAAAATGAAAAATAACCACAGAATCATAAGCAAACTTTAATATTCATATAAACTAAACTTTACACTTGTTAGACACAGAAATTGAAGCTCCAAGAATTGTTTGATTACGTGGTATCTTAAATTATAGAAAGAGTTCCAACATAAATTTAAGAAAACATTATGAGAAAAGCTTATAACTAGGCAAGTAACAGAACTCTTTAATACTATTCACATCTTCCTGCTATGAAATACACCTTATAAAATATTATAAACATTTCATGAAAATACAAAAGTTTGAAGAAATCTTTGGACACAAAATTATCTAAGAATTAATTATTAACATCATTTTGTTCAGATTCCAAATCAAGATTTGCATAACTAATATTCAGACCCTATGGAACTGCATCATAAAAAAAACACAAAGAAATAAAAAAACAACTCAATTTAAATAAACCTCCTTTATTGTAAAGCTATGCTTGCTGTAGGTATTTTCAGTCTCACACTCACCACATGTGCTGCTTGGCTTTCGGGTCCATTCCTGTAGACGGTTCGTCTAGCAAAGTAACCAGAGGGTTCCCCAGCATACTCAGGGCAAAACACAACTGGATGGAAAGGAAAAGAACGGACGTGGACAAAACTATTTCACTATAAGGAACTCCATCAAGAGAGTAAGTGGTATTGAACAATCAATAAACTATAGATGCATTTGTCATATAATGTAAATACCTTTCGTTTGATGCCTGCAGGTAGTTTCTTAATGGTTTTCTGAAGATGTTCTTTTAAATCAAGTGCATTTGTTATTCTGCAAAATGGGCAGCATAAAATGAGTGTAACCTGACATATGTATACATATAGATACAAACTGCGCCTAATCACTGTTATGGTTTATTCTAGAACAGTTACTCAGTTAAGCTTTAGTATAAATAGGTGAGAAAAATGGCAATCATTTTCTACACACTTATGTATTTTTATTTGGAATGCATATTTTTTACAGCGAGAAGGAGAGGCAGAGGTCTTTCCTTCTGGTTTACTCCCCAAAGGGCTACAACCATCAGAGCTGAGCTGACCCAAAGCTGGGGCCAGGAGCTTCTTCCCAGTCTCCCCCAGAGGCTGCAGGGTCCCAAGGCCATCTTCTGCAGCCTTCCCATACTACAAGCAGAGAGATGAAGCAGAAATGCAGCAACTAGGACATAACTGGCACCCACTTTGGATGCCAGACCTTGCAGGCAGAGATTTAGTTAGCCTCAACTTGCCGTTAAAACGATTTAAACAAATTAGTATCTTCATTAAATGATTTACTGCAACTTTTGTGTCATTTAATAATGTATGTTTTCTGTAAGTATAAATAGTAAAATGGCTTTTATTTTCACAGCTGTTGGAATTTTGGAAGTAACTATTTGTAGTTGCCCACACTGTGGCTCAGCAAGTAAAGGCATGCTGCCTGGGATGCTGGCATTCCATGTGGGTGCTGGGTCATGTCCTGGGTGCCCAGCTTCAGATCCAGTTCCCTGGGCATTCCATGTGGGTGCTGGGTCATGTCCCGGCTGCCCAGCTTTGGATTCAGCTCCCTGCTCGTGGCCTGGGCAAAACAGCAGAAGACGGCCTAAGTTCTTGGACCCTTGTACCCATGTGGCGGACCCAAAAGCAGCTCCAACTTGTCCCAATTTTGGTCATTATGGCCACCTGCGGAGTGAACCAGTGGATGGGAGATCTGTCTCCCCCTCTCTTACTCTTACTAGACATGCTAAAAATAAGTAAGTAAATCATTAAGAAAAATATTCAGAAAAATAATGGCCACTTTGTATGAAAATTATCATCTCAGAAATCTTTGTCATGAAAAATTTAATATGTCAGCTATAAAAATCTTCTTCCAAGTATTAAAATGAATCTAAACAAAATTGTATTACCGACTTATAACTTCCTTCATGTCACTTGAACTCATTCCCTTCACTGCTCCATAAATCTCAAAGTGTTCTTGCAAAGTAATATCTGTCCACAGTGGGTTTACCTGAGGACAGTAACCCATACACTTATTGGAATCATCCTCAGCTGCATCTGAAGTGTAATCTCCTAGAAATACCTACAAAGACAAAAGCCAATCGATTGACACTGTGAAGAGAAACCAGATTAACTCAAACCCTGCCCGGCAACCTCACTGGTATCAAGTGAAATTTTAATTCTGCATGATGGTGCAAGGACATGGCTGAGTCAGCGTTCAATGACAAAACTGGAAAGGTTCATTTTAACAGAGTGAATGGGTAGGAGAGAAAAACCCCAACTTAGGCTAGAAGAATTTCACTAGAAAACTGCCTCACTACACAGCAATCTGAAATGAGAGATACTTGAATTTCTGGGAGATAAGGCACAGTGCACACAGGAAACAGCCCAGGCAGTAACCCAATAAAGAGAGCCCCACAGAGCAGAGTCAGTGCGGCCGATGTGAAGGAAGCATGGAGAGAGGGAAGGAAACACAACCAGGGCAGTGCTGTGAAGTCTCCACCGCGTGAGGGGTGACACGCACATCGTAATCCCGACGGCGGGACAAGCCTCGCTCCCAGAGCCCGAGTGGGGAGACAAGCCACCGCCGCATGGAACAGTGATAAAAGCAGAAACACTACACACGTACACACGTCTGCACGGAAGCATGAGAATTTCACCATATTATTGCCACAAACAAAAAGATAATTTGATCAAGCTATATTAACAATATTTTTCAAATGTGGAAAATTCAACCATCAAAATCCTAAATTGTCATTAATTTACCTTCATTTAAAATATAAATCATAGTCAACATATTCCATACCCTTGTATGGCATACCTGGCCTGAAGTTGGCTCAGTATCACCAACCAAAATATTAATAACTGTGCTTTTGCCCGCGCCATTGGGCCCCAGCAGGCCAAGAATCTCTCCTAAAGGAAATAAAAGGAAAGAAATAATTACATTGAAATCAAACTAAACCTACAAATGACTTCTAGAAAATCTCTTAAGAAAAAAGTATAAAATTACAACCTTTTTTCACAGAGAAGGAGATGTATTTAGTTGCTACTTTCTTAATTTTCCTTGAATGAAGAAAATCTTTCTTATCTTCATATTCTTTATGTAAATTGCTGACCATAATTGCTGGTTTCTAATTAGGGTGATAAAATTTTGAGAGCGTTAACAGGTACCTGGGATTTCATGACATCATCCACATATTCACAGCATAAAAATATGTGTTTATTAATTAGATGATAAGTATACAAATAAATTTCCATGGTGACTGAAATCATGATTTACCAAGGATACAAAATTATCTTCCAGGACAGTTTTGTGTTCAGAGTGACTCGTGCAAAGGGACATGTTTTAAGTTGCATTTACCTCTTCACAACACTGACAACTCATCAGCTCTTTCACTTTGAGTCTTTCAGCTCTGACATCTTCATCTTCATCCTCATTGTTGGGTGGTTCTGGAAACTTCTTGCTCTTTGATTTGGTTGAAAGATTTCTAAATATTCAGAAATAGATTCTCTAATAATTAAAATTGTAAGGAATGTAGGCATTACATAGAAAAATAACTTGAAAAATATCCTAACATGATACCTGGAATTATCTTTGAAAGGTGGAATTTTCATTGACGGATATCATTTAAATGATATTATCTAACTCCATGTATTCAGCAAAATCATTCATGACCAGTATACGTCAAGCACTAATTCCATGGAAAGATAAAGGAGGACTTTATCTTCAAAGACAAAAATGGATTTCTATCAAAGAATTTACAGCCAGGGTACCAGTGAAACTGCCCAGAAAGAGCAGATGGAAAGGACAGAAGCGAGAGTTCACAGAAAAATCCTTTTTAGGGCAGGCAGAGGGAGAAGGGTCAATAAAGGACATTCTTAACAGGAGTAAAGAGGCAAGCAGAGATAACATTACAGAGAGTAAAGGGACACTAGAAAAAGGATGAGTTAATCGTGTTAAAGGCTACAATTTAATGAACACAGCCTACTAGGTAAAATAAAAAGCAGAAAGGTAATATCTACAATGTGTAAAAGATGTTTAGAGGCATTTCTCAAAAGATATAAAAACAATGAGCACGTGCTCAACATCATGAATTATTAGAGAAACATAAATCAAAATCACGCTGACACACCACTTTATACATACTAGAACTGCTAAAACCAAAAAATAGACATTGACAATGTTGTGAAATACAACTCCCATATGTTCCTAAGTGAGAGAGGAAACCTCATCATTTTGAAAATAGTATGGCAATTCTGTAAGAGGTTAAAAACTACAGAATTAAGACCTGGAAATCCTATTTAAGCATTCACTGAAGAAATATGAAAGCCATGTGTCAAAACAACTGCAGACAATGATCTAAGCAAACACACACACCAAAAGACAAACATAAACCCCCCACAGAACTCGCTGCTGGCAACATGTGATACGGATATGCACACACAGCACGACTACAAAACCCAGACGTAATGAAGTGCTACTAAACAGTGCAACAGGGTGAATCTTTTCAAAATTACACTAAGCGTAAAATCGCACGCTAGGTATTACACTTCCCAATCTTGGTATCTTTATAAGTGCTCTCTGATGAGTATATTGATTTTGTAAAACTGACGTAATTTCTTAACTCTGATGACAAGTAAGTAAGCATGTCTTTCCAAGCTACCCGAGAAAACAATTACTCTTTTTTCGGCTTAATTTTTTTCAAAACATATTTCTACATTTTCCCTTTCTTTAAATTATTTTAAAATGTATTGTGTGAATATTTAAGACAATTTCAGTAAGCACAATGGGAAGCACATAAATACATACACTGTATATATATTTATTCACTGTTAAAGGTAAATTTTGCAAAAGTTAATATTCAAAAAAGGGAAAAAAAAGTTACATGAAGTTAAAAAACTTCAGACAAAAAAAGGCTACATTTTTGTATAATTCCAGTTAGAGGAAATGTTGCAGAAGAGGCATATCTGACAAAGAAGGTACAGGAGAGGTTAGCTAGTACTGGAAGCATGGGAAGAAGACAGGAAAGTGATGGTTGGTGAAAACAAAGTTCTTTTTCTGGAGTGCTGGCATGAGCTAAAGCTTTTATGGTGATGGTTATATAATTGTTCAATAGATTGAAAATATTAAGGCTTTTTTTTTTAAAAAAAGTTAACTGACCTGAAAAACGGATCCTTTCTCATGGTTCTGCCTCCATATTTTTTCTCATAGTACTGCAGGAGGAAAATCCACAGAGCACACTGCAGGTAAGGCTGAAAAAGAACATGCAACAGCTCACGTCTAGTCCTTTGCTAGCAGAACCAAGAGATGTGTAGCAGGTGCCTTGCCACCTCCTGAGGCAGAAGCACAATGTTTCTATGCTTCTCATATGAATAATTCATGCGATTAACTTAAAACATTATTGTGAGGCTATTTTAAAATAAATCTTGATATGAATCTAGGTAGAATTATTTTAGTAGAATAACTTCTCCATAACATTCATGTTATCAATCCAAATATCTAGCATTAGCACACTTGACATTTTATGTTCCTTCTTTTTTATGTAACAGGATAAAGATTAAACAGTTGAAACCACTCCAAATGCTAAGACACAAAAGCATTTATCATCATGTCTCACCGATATAACAGCCACCAAAAGCTTATCCCATGGGTTGAAGGCATTCTCGCTCTTAGGCATATTCTTCCAAGAAACCTGAGGCAAAAATCTGTTTCAATGTATATGCTGTGACATACTGAAACACTCATATTAAAAATGAAAAAGTAAGTATTTTGTGCAGCAACCATACATTCTCTTTGAATAAACTAGCAATCCACATTAAACTATGTTTTTTATTTCAATTAAAAATACCTACTAAATTACTAAACATAAGCAAGAATTTAATAAAGCTAAGGGAGGAATAGTTAGGGAGCAAAATTATCCAGTAATCAATAATCTCAAATTTTAAAAATTCATGATTTATTTTTCCCTAATAATATGGAAAATTTTCAGTTACCTAGCCTTAATTAAAACTACTATATTTTTATTTCCTCAGAAAAAAATTCTATAGTTCATTTTCTCTCAGTTCTTTATAGTGTAATACATTATTTAATTCCAGAAAAACTCTAAAAACAAATGATTGAAACTATATTATCATTCTAATTGTTAATTCTGAACATCAAATAACATTTCGTACATATAATCTCACACAAAGAACACAGTAATACAGAATTTTTAGTTTAAAGATGCTAGAAAAAATATGATGAACATTTCAATTTCTGGATTAAGAGTATTTCTCTAAGTAACAGCAATTAATTTGGTGCATTTCAATTTTTTTCAGTGTAAGAACTAAGACATCAAATGTTAAACCATATTTGCATATGCTTTTAAAATATTAAAATGCTGAACAGATCTACCTTTATGAAAGACATCAGGCAACCGAGCAGTGGATAGATTGGAATGATTATGCTAAAGGCATAGTGAAAAACAGCTGTAGCTTTGGATCCCATGAAGAAAGTTATTTCAGTGATTGCAACACAAGCCAATGCTGTCTAGAGAAGAAGGAGAAAATGAGTGAGCACATGCTTATCAATTCCACATCATCTTATCAGTCTGTGTTTAAGAATTAACTACAGGAAGCAGAGAGAAGATGCTTAGGAACTGTCAGTGTGCTGAGGCCAGTTGTTTACAGCTGGTATTCTTGTTGTGCTAGCTCTGAGTACCACTCCTTCAAGGAAGAGACTATACAGAAGAAAGACATGTCTGTGGCGCTGGATGAAAATTGCCCTGGCTTTGGCCATAGCCATGGGTGAGATTCAGCGCCTAGAGCCACCAGGAGCCTCAGCTCATCTCCCACTGCCTGTGTGGAAAGGTGAGACCCAGGCCCCGACAGGAGCAAAACAGAAAACAGGAAATGACAAGCAGGTGCAAAAAGAAAACCAAAGAGTCTTCCAGCCCCCGCATGGGGGCAGGAAGGCCCGGGACAAGTAGCGTCTCAGGCCTGGATCGCACGTGGCCACAACCATGCGCGTGTCCGGAGCCGGTATCCGGTGACCAGTGCGCCATTTGGCAGTAGGCTCTGCCTGCTGGCTGCCTGGCCAGGGAGCTCTGGGATTTGGTTTCTGTGATTGCTGCTTAGAAAGCTTCATGATGAACCCTCAGGGCTTTGGGTACATGAATCAACCCTAAAGATTCCCAATGATGTAAATCTCCCCCGATGGACCTCTACCTAATTTGGTCTCAACCCATGTGTTTTTAAAATTGTATAACCAAATATACTTTCAAAACCTTTTACTACTCAGAAATTGGGCGGGAGAGCAAAGAAACCTTCCATCTCCTGTGAACGTGTGAGGAAGCCGTGTAGTGTAACCTCTCAGGCACATAACAGGTAACTTGTAGACAACAGATTCAAGACAACATTAGACAACGGTAAAACTACAAAGATACATAGGGGGAATCAAGAGCGACCCTGACAACCTATTAACAGCAGGTCATGTGCACAGAGCAGTGGGGGACCACAGAGTGGAGCAGGTGGACAGGAGGAGGCTTGTATCCCAAAGCTGGAGTCTCCCGGATCCCCACCAAGGGCTATCAGTACGGGCGCCAAGGACCACATCCCAACTGCCAAAGAGACCACGGGGGACTGGAATGCCTGCGGAGGCCGAGAACTCAGAGGACATCCCCCCCCCCGGCCCCCCGCCTTTGGACCTACCACACGGGATGGAAGAAGCTGAATCCTTCATCATAGGATCCAAGGCCACCCCCCCCAACACACACACACACACATACACACACACACTCACAAATTGGAAAGGATAAGCAGAGAACAAGGAAGGCTTGGTCAGCATGGACTCACACACACCTTACTAGGTAGGACACGGGGATTAAGTACTCCTCACCAAGGTATGGAAGATTTCTCTGCACACCCTTCCTAAAACTGTTTCACACCTCAATTGTTGAAATGTCATTGAAATAGTCACAGGAAGTTGTTAAGACCATGCATCCAATTTTGACAAATTGGTTGCTCAATACTTTGTCAATTTATCCCTTAACGTTATATATCGTTGCTGATGTTATGTTGGGGCTTTTAATTGACCGGGATTCTACTCGGTTGGCTCTGCCTTCGGACCGGGGAGGGTCTCCCCAAGAAGCCGCTGAACTTGACCAGACAATGAGATGCTGGACTCTATGCTTGGTGTATGCTTGCAATGAAGGAATCTCAACTAAACCTGAACTGTGGATGTGCAATAGGGGGGGAGGAACCCACCATGGGGGGAGGGTTAGGAGAGGGGTGGGGGGAATCCCAGTGCCTATATTGAACTGTGTCACATAATACAATTAAAAAAAAAGACATGTCTGTAAGAAAGATTGTACCACAGTTCTGAATCTGAGATCTACAAAAGACATTTAATGTTCTTGAATATAATTGAGACAGTTCATGACTTTAATAAGTCATTATGATAAGCTGCAATAATACAAAATTTGACTTACCACAGAATAGATAAATGACCAAAATTCTTTGGTATTTAAAATTTTCTTAAAGGTGAAAGAAGCAACATAAGTGAACAAAATGACTGATGGAACATACCCGATTAGGCAAAAAACCTGTAAATCAGAAATGTGTATTTCAATGCAAAATTAGGAGTAGATGGCAATATATGATGTAAAAACAGCACAGTCATAGGAATATGTTAAGGAACAATTAGTCTTAGAATTTATTCCTGCGATGAATTGTTCTAATAACTAAGCTGTAATTATTCGAGAAATTATTATCCACATATCTAATAATTAAAGAAGGTCAGACTTTTAATTTGCTGTTAGTACAGCCTTGCATAAGTCATTTAAGCTGAATGCCACTAAGAGTTTTCAGACCAAACCAAATGTTCTCTCATTATTTTGTTTTATTGTTATATATTTGTATATTTATATTTTATTATTTTATTGTTAAAAGCAAGTATATCTGGTTACAACTTTATATCTCTCAATCTACTTTAATAATATGGAATTACAATTATTTTGCAATGTTTAAAGATATTTCCCATTGCTAAAATATTTGTCTTCCTGTATCTGAAGGGCAGAATTTCAGAGAGGTGGGAGGAAGCATCAGACCAAGAGAGATATCCACTGGTTCACTCCGCAGATGCTCCAACAACCTGCACTAAAACCAGGCAGAAGCCAGTAGCCAGGAACTCTGTCTGGGTTTCCCATGTAAGCAGTGGGGTACCCCAGCAATTGGCCTTCCACCTTTCAGAGCAGGGAGCCAGATCAGGGCAGAGCAGAGGGGACTCTGATCAATACCCCAATATGGGATGTGGGCATCCCAAGGAGTGGCTTAACTCTGTGTCACAAGGTTACCCAAACATTCATTATTTTACATGGCAGAAGCTTACATACGGGCCTGGTGCAATAGCCTAGTGGTTAAAGTCTTCACCCTGAACACGCTGGGATCCCACATAGGTGCCAGTTCTAGTCCCGGTTGCCCCGCTTCCCATCCAGGTCCCTGCTTGTGGCCTGGGAAAGCAGTCAAGAACATCCCAACGCCTTGGGACACTGCACCCATGTTAAAGACCTGGAGGAAGCTCCTGGCTCCTAGCTTCAGATGGGCTCAGCTCCAGCCGTTGAGGCCGCTTGAGGAGTGAACCATCAGACAGAAGATCTTCCTCTCTGTCTCTCCCATTCTTTGTGTATCTGCCTTTCCAATAAAAATAAATAAATCTTTTTTAAAAAGAAGAAGCTTACATGCAAGGGTCTCTGGTAAAATTAAAAATATATACTGTTTTAACAATTTTCCTCATAAAAACCAATTAGTCTATTTTAAGTCATTTTTATGTAAGCAGCGTTATCAGATTCTTCTTTAATATTTTAAGCCATACTTTATAGAATAAAAGTATGTCTTTATGAAAACATGTGCAGCTACAAAAATAGAAAAGGAATACATTTCTATACTCTGTATCGCACACCACAGATCATCTATATGACGCATCACCTCACTATGAAATTATTATTAAATGGTGTCATTAACGATATTTTTAAAAATTGCTTGTAATAGGGGCTGCAGCTGTGGTACAAGCCAAACTTCTGCCTGCAGAGCTGACATTTCGTAAGGGTACTGGTTGTAGTGTCAACTGCTCCACTTATGATCCAGCTCCCTGCTAACACGCGTGGGAAAGCAGCAGGAGATGGTCCCAATACTTGGGCCCGGGGGCCCACCGAGCAGGCCTGGAAGAAGCCCTGGTTACTGCCTTCACCCTGGCCCAGCCCAGCCCAGTGGCTATTTAGGGAGTGAGCCAGCAAACTGATTCTCTTTCTCTCGCTCCACCTTTCAAGCAAATAAAACAAATTCAAAATTTAAAAGGGTACATAACAACAAATAATGAATTGATGGAGAGTCTTCTACACAATAATTAAGTCCATTTAAGTTCATTTTCTTTGAAAATTTTAACAGCCAAATTATTTAGTCAATTGTCAAGTTTATAGAGTTTTAAAAACCAGCATTTTATCTGTAAATAACAAAAGTACTAGCGATGTTAACTTACCACAACCAGGAACTTTGCAGCATAAAAATATAATCCATGGTGAAATGCAAATAAGCTTCCTAGCATCAAAGTAAGAACAATAAAAAATAAGGGTATATCAATAATAGCTTGTCCAATCCAATATGCAGATGGCAAGAGACCTGAAAGTTTAAGCTGAGTATAAGCTTTGATCTAAAAAAAGAAAGAAAAATACTTAGATAATAATTTTAGGCATTTAAAAAAATATATACTCACGTATAACCCTTATTTCCACAACAATGCAAAAAAGGTTATATTTCTAGGCCTATAGCTTAAAAAAGTCATCTTCACACTTGGACGCCTCTAGCCCTTAATTTGAGTATTTCTAAAAAATATAGCACTTTCAACCAAATTTTTAAAAAATCAGAAAACAGTAAGTGCTGGTAAGAAGCATAAAACTAGAGTAAAATTTAGGTGTCGTGGAGATTGCAGAAGCACAAATAGGAAAGAATCAAAACACTACAACTTCTCAAAGTCTGTGGAAATACTTGTACATAGCAAAATAATTTTCATTTTTTAAAAATAATTAACCTTTCATAAAATACTATAAATTGCCAAAATCCTTTTGCTTTATACAGAGCTTTCTGTTTTTGGTATTGCATATTCAGATACTACATTTCAAAGTACCTTAGGTATGTTGACACAATACACACATCTAAGATGCTATTTCTTCCAGGAGCAAATAGCATTTTCATGTATCGTAATGAGTAAGCAGTATTTTCACGTATCTTAGCATCAAACTTAAACAATTGTGTCTTCCCAGTCTTGTATTCTCCTCATTTAGTTTAAAAACTTAAAAATCTTTCAGAAATCTAAATATCTAACAATCTTATTCAGTTGATTTTTGTTATTTTTTAATAATTTTAGCATAATATGAAAGAGCTGGTCACACAGTAAGATGAGGTGAACATGAAATGCAGAATTTACGTAAGGAAAAAAAATAAAAGAAAAATGAGCAAATTTTATAAGAACATCAGACATGTAAATTCCACAAAAGCTATAAAAACACAAACCAACTCAAATACAATTATTTAAAATAATTCAAGCTTTTTTCACTTACGTAGTGCTGGTGGTAACATAAAATGGTCTCTTTGCACTGGATAATAACTAGCCAATTTCTAATAAGACTAAAAACCACCATCTTATGACCTGGTAACTGCATCCTTGGACATGTAGTCCAGAGGAATGAAAACTTATTTTGATACAAAAACTTACATGCAAATGTTCATATAAACTTTACTCATAGAGGTGAGAACTGCAAACAATACAGATGCTGTGTTCTTCACAGGCAAACAGCTTATGAATCTACTCATGTTACCACACACAAATTGGGTAAGTTTCCAGGGAATTATTCTGAGTAAAAACAGTGGCTAAATCTGCCTGTGATTTGTGTGTACGCGCACGCACATGCACACACACACACACACACACACACACACACACACACACACACACACACACATTCCTGAAATACCAAAATTACAAAAATATCAGAATTGATTAGTTACTGCTAGAAGTTAGGAATAGCAGCAGGATGGAGTGGCTGTTCAGAAAAAGACAACAGTGGAGGGTTTTGTGTAGGTGAAATTGTTCAATATCTTCACTGTTTCTGTGATATATTCTTATGAGATTCAACAGTTAAAGAGTATGTAGGAGCTCTATAAGAATCTCCAATTATCTCAAAATAAGTTTAATTTGAAAATATTTGACACAAAAAGAAAGCAAATTATTCTTTTAGCTTTGAGTAACAGCATTTTTAAATTTCCATACACTTTTTATAATGCTTTTTATTTTACTTATAATTTTCTATATTTTATAAACTGCTACAATAAATATCATGAAGGTACTTCAAAAAATGAAAAAGATAATGTTATGTTCCAAGAATTATCTGAAGATGATTCATATATTCATAAAACAATACTTAAACATAATTTAGAAGTATTTCCTGAGACTCGAACTGAACAAATTTAACAATAAGATTTTTATTAAAAAAATAAGTTTATTTTTAGTAATAATAAAATAAAACATTATGACCTTAAAGTCATGATTCACTGTGCTCTATAACTTAATTTAGATAAGCCTGATTCTAAGGAATACAGCTCATAGATAAAGTGAATAATTTTTTTATTAGAGGGTTAGGATAAAATTTTAGCAGAGTAGAAGGGATTTCAGTAGCCAAAACTTTTCCCAAGGACACTCCTCCTGAAGCACAGCAAAAGCAAAAGGTGCAGAAAAGGCTGTGGAGCCAGTGCCTTCCCTAGTGAAGGACACACACCCAAAGCACCTTCCTTGGCAACTTCTCTGTGCCCTAGCAATGACAACAACTTTTCACTCATGTTTTTTAATTGAACAAAATTAATGCCTTGAACATTCAACATGCTCCTTTAAAGATTAGAGGGGAGAGGCAGGTTAGAGTGTCAGATAACAACATAATGATAGTTTCCAATGCGCCGTTAAAGCAAGCTGAGTCTACTTGGGCAAATTTATATGAAAACTCTCTTCTTCAATTTTCTGATCCATAAAGTATGTGATAGAAACTTAACTCACAACACTGTAAGAACTACTGTATGTAATTTTTAAACAATGGAACAAGTATTTGGTATTGAATTTTAGCTATCAGTATTATTACAATCAACGCATAAATGTATTTTCATTTACTTCTGAAATAATAATTTTAAAATAGTATTTCAATAACAAACCATACTGAAATTTTAAAACATGATCATTCATTACCTTGTGATTCTCTGCGTTATCCATGGCAAAATACGGTGGCATTGCAGTAACAATGACTCCAAGCAAAGCTGCTTGAGAATACAGCTCAGCTTTAAAAACAATGTCAGTGATTTCCTGAAAGACAACCACAGACCCAGAAATGCAGCTGAGGATCAGGTGACACTGCCTTGGAGAATCCTAAAGAGTACTGTAATTCACTTAAGGATTACACTACGACAGCTATTCCAGGCCTGCAGGTGAGAATGGGAATCAGATAACACAGTGGTGGACTACAGTCCCAATCCTGCTCCTAATTACAGCTCTGTGAATCGGAGAAAAAAACTACGTTTCCACTTTCTTGTCCTATAACAGAAGACTCTGGCATACAAATTAAGCTTCAGCATTTTAAAAAAAAATATGTGTGAACAACAATTAGCATGACTACAAATAGCAAGGAATGATTCTGGGAGGCCGGCATTATGATACAGCAAGTAAGGCTGCCACCTGTAATGCCAGCATTCCATATGGGAATCGGTTCATGTTCCCACTGCTCTACTTCCAGTCCACTTCCCTGCTAATAGCCTGGATTAAGCAGCAGAGAATGATCCAAGTGTTTGAGCCCCTGCCACCCTTGTAGGAGACCTTAGGAACTAGGCTAGGCCATTGTAGATAGTCCTAACTGGATGCGTGGATTATAGGTTAGTTGGAATCTTGGGCCCTCTTTTTCTCCACTGAGAAAAACTGTATTCTAAGCTCAGATACCTATGGAACCAGAGACAACTTCTTCCAAACTAATACTTAATAGACTTAGTCCTACAGGCTCAATGTCCACAGCCAATTTAGGACCCATGTATCTTCAACTAATGCTTAAAAAAAATACACATATTTATTTATTTGGAAGGTAGGGTTAAAGAGAGAGAGGAAGCATCAGAGATCTTTCATCAGCTGGTTTGCGCCCCAAATGGCTGCAATGGTCAGGGCTGGGCGCAGCCAAGGCCACGAGCTTCATCTGGGTCTTCCACGTTGGGTACAGGTCCAAGTACTTGGCTTTCCTTTACTGTTCTGGTGCATTAGCAGGAGATGGATCAGAAGTGGAGCAGTCAGGACTTGAATCTACGTCTCTAAGGGAAGCTGGTGCTGCAGATGTTGTCTTTACCCACTGTAACACAGCGCTGGTCCAAGTCAATTAACTTAGCAAGACAGTGCAGTGAATGGCCGATACACCAAGCTAACTGACCATCCAGGAACAAGAACACAATCTTACGACCTACTGCAATAAGCCCACTTGCCTACCCTTGCTCTGTAAGAAGGCATGCAGCCCAGACAGCAATGATACCCTGCACTGCAGCAGAACTCTGACTAGCAGAAACCCTAGATGCAACACGCCCCACCATGAGGTGATGTGAGGCAGAATGCATCACTGCCAGGTGATTCTGGGCTTCTACATCTTTTTAAAACTTATTAAGTCATTTCCCTCAATCCTGTCCTAAAACATTGTAAATTGGTTCTAGTGTCTCTGGAAATGGTCTCATGACCGTATAAAGCATGTGATAAAAGTAGTACAGGTTAAATTATGGTTGCATTAACTCATAGAAATCGATGAAGAAAACAATACAAAGAGCTAAATATAAGACTATATTCATATCTATGAATGGCATGTTTTGAAAAGTCTCATTTCTTTCCTCTTAAAAAAACATCCATGGTTGGTAACAGAAAATGTAAGTTATAAGAACTTTTGTAACAGTTACAGTCACAGAAAGAGATACAGATTTCTAGTAACATCATCAAAATGTGTGAAAATCATGGCATTTCTACAGTATCTTTCAGGTTTTCTTAAAGATGAACAAGTCTGACAAGATATTAACCTTTGCAACACTTGCGTACTAGATGCGTGGTTATACTCTGTAGGCTTACACAATTTTAAACAATCATACGGGATAGCCTGCAACTTCAACGTTCTTAGTATTATCTATGTGGTGGAATCGCATAAGTATTTCCTGTCCAGAAATTTCTCCAGATTCATATATCTAAAATATTTAATAAATATCAAGCAAATGCCATCAGAACAATATTCAAAATGCCAAGTATTTCTATTGCCCCAGAAACCAACCAAAAACTTTTTCCCTGTATTGTCAGAACTTGTAAATGATATCACTTTGCACCTAAAAGTGCGAGATCCTCTGCCTCTCCTTACCTCTCAAATGCAGAGTAATCGAGCTACGCCACTTAGTTTAACCTCTCCCTATTTATGTCGTTACTTTGCTGCACTAACTCAGACACTCACCATCGACTGTCAGGAGGACTGTTTATGAAAACAGTCTTTAAGCCAGAAAAAAAGGAGTATCTGCTGTGATTTCTTTCTGTCCTCTCCTAGTCTTCAACTTTCCCTATAGGAATCCACGTCCAGCTTGCTGAGAGCAGTTTTTCAAAGTGCAGCCCTGTCTATACTGTGAGTCTTTCGTCCCCATGTGCACATACGACACGAGTTAACATGGTTTTCATTGTAAGCGTGACTTTACAGTACAGATCACAAAGCCATGCTCTGTCTATAAAAGACAACGAGAAGCTATTGCACTTACAGGCTTTTTTCCCCCTTTATTACTGCAAAAGATATTTTGCTTCTATTCACTAGAAACTTCACAGATCTAATTTTTTTCCTATTTTTAACCTCATTTTTTTAGGTCCCATCAGCATGTAAGTGAACACAGAAATGGAGGCACAATGGAAAAGAGAGGAAGGAAGCATCTTCAGCTGTCATTTTGCTCCCACTTCTTACAACTGACACAGATAAAACTGCTGCATGCTGATTCTGTTTTCTTATCTTACAATCATATCTCAACCTCCTATAATCTGGAAAATTCGAATCTCCCCACTCTGTAGCCAAAGCCACTAAATGCCTAAGTAACAATGCTTCCATCAAAACACTGAAGTATAGGGTTCAGAGAACTTCTGCGCTGACAAATGTTTTCAACGAGCCAGGAAAGTAGTGCAGCCACCTCCACAAGAGCAGGAGTTCACACGCTCAGGGTCCTTCCCTCTGCATGTAACTTCACCAAAGTCAAGACACGTAAAGTGCCTCCCCAAATTCTGTGATCTGTGCTAGCATTACACCTGGGGATGTGGTGTCAGGGGACCCTCAGATTTTTGGCTTGCTAGTGAGACACATCACTTACAACCTGGGCTTGCTGGTCACACCGCAGGCTGGAGCTCGCCATCCGCCCAGGGTTCCGTCTTAGGAGACTGAGCTGTGAGCTGTGCTACCTGACAGTATTTTCAGCATAGTATAAGAATTTACTTATGTCTGTTTCTTGTTTCTTACTGTCTTGCTCATTCCTATGCCCCAAGCGTTAATACAACTCGTGGTTATTTTACGTACTTTTAAAGTGTATACTAATGAGTAAGTAAATATGAAGAGAGTAGGTAAGAGGTTATGGGAGATGATCCGATGCATAATCATTGAATATGTAATAGTAAGGTCAGTGATAAAGCAGCTGATTAGAACAAGGACAACATTTTTCTTTTCCCCATTGCCAACCCCTGGACCTCGCTCTCAGGCACAGGCATCCAAACCCCCTTTAACCTCACCCAGCCCTGAGGAAAGTCATAGGGGCCTGGCAGTTCTGGCTGCACAGCCAGGTGCCTCTGACACTGCCTCATGGCAGTGCCAGAGATAGTGGCACAGGGCTGAGGCCAAGCCACCAAGCGGCTCTCCAAGGGTCATCAGCAGGTCCTTCTTGGTGTCCTCTAACGGTCCATATCTGCTAGGGTCAAGGCAGGGAGCGTCACTCTCCTGGTGGTGTCTATGTTGGGGGCTCTGCTTGGCTGCCCTCTTCACCTCCTCTGCATCCTCCCGCTGGGGTGCCCCTGGGGGCCGCTCTCCCTGCTGGGGCCTGGGATCTGGGCACAACACCAGTGCCGGCTCCCACCTGGGGAATCATCTTGGCTTGGAGGTGGGGTGCTTCACCCTCACTCACCCTAGAACTGGGCATGAGGTGCGCAGATGGGCCTGTGGCGGGCAGGGCACAGTGTAACAGTGAACGGGTAAACAGAACTGAGTGTTCCAGGTATACATTCTATACAATGGCACGCCCTTTGTTAGTAAAGGATGGGTGAGTTTCTAATAGAAGGCGAAATTCAATTCAGTGGTGTTTGAACTACATTTTAATAAAGCTGGTAGAAAGTATGACAATATAAAATAATACTTAGAGATATTTATTCCATGTGTTTTTAAGCACATGAAAAAGAAAGGATTGGAAAGAAATGCTGAATGTTCTTCTGGAGATGTAAGTTAATTTTGATTTATAATCCAACAATCCTATCACAAAGAAAACCTGTCTTAATGACTTTTTGAGCCTTTTGTAATATCCCAGTACACAGGCTTTATATAAACAACATTCATTTTCATATTATCTTTATTTTTCTTCAATGATTTACATGAAAAATATTCATGCTTTACAAAAATTAAACAGTAACAAAACAAGACGACCCTGATATTGATGCAAACTAGTACGGAGGATTCAGTACCAGAAATGATGAGTCTGAACATATCTCGCCATTATGTGGGTGAATTTCTATATTGCTGTTATTATTGCTTAGCTTTTAACTATCATTAGGTGTGTATATGTGTATATATGCACATATATGTATATTCGTGCTCATGAAAAACGTACAAAGCCTTGGCTTACCTGAAAGAAAGGGGTGCTCCAGATGTGGATGGTTTCAGTGACGTTTAAATGATACAGGTAGTAGTTACTGATGATATTCATCAACACAGGCAAAGAATAAACCATGGTACTATTGAAAACAGCTGTAAAAATATGGTCCTGCAATAAAACAGTGAATCATTATACATTGTATATAAATAACGGACACTTAAGTACTGTAGATAGAAAGATCATCTCACAGACTAAAATGCTCACTAACTGTACAGAAAACTCCCTTCAACTAAGTATAAAAATTATACTTAATTATAGATAGACAACTTGATTGTGACTATGTAGATAATCTGATACTTAAAAAATATATATATATAATATATATATATACACAATTAAATTCCTATAATGTTTCATACACTGGCTGATCATTCTTCAGGGCATGAAAAGTATCTTATGATATCTTTATCATAAACACAACTAGCTGTTTGCGAAAGTAGACGGTAGTTTCCACGACAGAGGTCAAGGCACTGCACGAGCGCCCTCTCGTGGTCTCGGAGGGAGTTCTCATTCACACCCGTTGTTCTTACCCTTTCTGAATGCGCCACGTTTAAAGCTGCACTGTGTGGAGCAGCAGACACATAGTCACTGTCATTAAACATTGTCACCACGATGTCCCGGTAAGTGAAAAAACTAATAAGATCACTGATATCTGAGTCTAGTAGAGGAAAATAATCAGACAACAAAGCATCAATTAAAATTGGAACAGATGTAGGTTTTTAAAAACACTAGAAAGGCCATTCAATTTTGAGAAAATTATTTTATCTTCACGAACCAATATATAATCAGAAATTCTAGCTGTGTTATTTATAAATACTAGTTAACTGGAGGCAGAGCTGAACTATTTAATAGCACTGTCAGCAAATTACCTAGATGTTCTCGGCCTTAGTTCCCTGCTTTGTCAAGAGGGCATAAAAGCATATTTAACAAATGATTAAATGCAAACAAAAACCTGACATGGTAATCATAAAAATTTCACCTGCTACTGCTACAGCTACTACTAACATTAAAAAATTACATACAGGGACCAGCGCAATAGCCTAGCGATTAAAGTCTTCGCCTTGAATGCACCAGGATCCCATAGGGACACCAGTTCTAATCCCTGTGGCTCCACTTCCCATCCAGCTCTCTGCCTGTGGCCTGGGAAAGCAGCTGAGGACGGCCCAAAGCTTTGAGATCCTGCACCCACATGGGAGACCTGGAAGAGGATCTAGGCTCCTGGCTTTGGATGGGCTCAGCTCCAGCTGTTGTGGCCACTTGGGGAGTGAACCATCAGATGGAACATCTTCCTCTCTGTCTCTCCTCCTCTGTATATCTGCCTTTCCAATAAAAATAAATAAATCTTTTTAAAAAATTACATATAATACTCAGGTAAAGTTTAGCTAAACAATGAAATTTGTAACTTCTCCAGTAATCTTAGATAATATATAATTTGCTTAATGCAGAAAAGATACAGATAGCTTAGAGTACGGTAATATCATTTTCTGGAGAAATTCTACATGCCTGCAAAGACATTTTTATAAACTGAAACTAGGTTAAGACATTCACACGCATAATCTAGACTATTCCATATTCTCGAAACTGCCTAAAGCCAAGGTAAACATTTCTGAATTCTGTCGGGGTTTTAAATCTATACCTACATGTCTGATGAACCGAGGTACTTCCCCTGATGTCATCATAAAATCAGGACTTAAAAACAAATGAAATTTTAAGAGAAACAAAAATCAAATAAAGCAAAATTATCAGTCACAGAGTAAGTATGGTATGGCAGGAGAGGTTCCAGATCAGACTTCAGCATTACAGAGAACGGTGGTCTTACACATGCAGCAACATGACGCGTACTCTCAGTCAAGGTAAGCTCTTACCTGATGTCCCGTCCCGGTATGTTCTGTGACTGAAGCATACACAACATTTCCCAAGAGATGGAAAAGATACACCTTATACATACACATACACACATATCCAACCATATGTACACATACATGCATATGCGTGTATCTACACATAGAATTCAGTTATTCATAAAGTAAAAGTTGTTTCATTTTGGACCAGTAATAGGGATTAGGAAAATATGGGATATACTCATAGAAGACAACTCTCAGAATACCTAAGGATAATGAACAAAATAACTGAAAATATTAGAATTTCCACATATCAGTGAGAATAAACTCAAAGTAGAATTTCTTAGATGCACATAGAAATACAAACATTATGACAAGGTAAGTCTCCATGCAGTAAATATATTTTAGCATCTTAAAACATGTATCAAAATCAAAAAACAAAAATTGTAAATGAAGGCAAAATTCAAAGCATAACGTTTTTTATCCTAGAGAATTTTCTATCATTCAGCACATATTCTTAGAATAAATAGAGGCTAATATACTAAACACCAGATTTGTGATAATTCTTTACCACCACTATGGTAACACTGGGGAAAAATAAAAAAAAAAAAAAAACCTCTTCAGTTCATTGTGATTCATGTAGGAAATTGTTAAACTTTAAGAATATTCTTTGATTATAAAAAAGAACATATAAATTTCAATTTAAAATGTAGATATATTTGTGCAAAACTGAACAAATAAAGTTTGGAAGCAATTCAAGCTTTGTTTTGCTCTAAACTTGCCAGTTAGTCCTGATACTCTCGTCACTGTCCCTATTAGCACTAAGGATCACCTCTGCAGATGGCAAACACCGTAGGAACAATTCATCATACATTAATAAAACTGTGCATTAGGTTTAATATTTTGCATTTCAAAATACTGTATCAGTTTCTGCTCTCAGTTTTATGCAATCTTTACATGTAAATAATGTTTTCATATTTAAAAATTTTGTAGTTAAGAATGTCAGTCAGTAGCAAATAGAAAAATACAATTTTACTATATTAAATAACAGACATTTAACTTAAAGCCTGTTTTTAATTTTAAGTTTTAACTAATACTTCAGGTAGTCCTTGAAGGATTCTTTTTAAAAATCTATATATTTGACTGTATAAATGCCACACACTGTAACTCTTTCTAAACAGGGTGTTTAAGCTCTTGAATTTATTTTGTGCACTATGAACTCTGAGATAGAATGTTCAGCTGAAGATGTTTTTAATTCTAATAAAGGAAGAGAATTTTACAATTCTAAGTTGCATAGAGTATTTTTTTAACCTCCATTTAAGTTAGAGCCGAAATTTTACTTCTATAATATATTATTTAGCATCAGAAAGGTAAATATTTCACTTTGTTTACATATATTTCTAAAATCCTGGTGTCCAGCCCCTGTCTAGCCTCAACACACGCCAGAAGCAACACACACTCACAAACTTTCACACGCGCTCACCAGTGGAATTTTGAAGCAGTAGACTTGTTTTGTACTTATGAGGTTTCTCTCCAGGTTTTAGAAAATATAACTCTGGAACAAGTTTGACGGGAACCACAGCATTTTTTAAAGAGTTATGCACCAAAAACATAAAAATCTGAATAGCAAAAAAAATTAAAAGCAGGAGTAACCTGGAATGGAAAAAAAACCTTGTCAAGGGACATTCATATACAAGCCTAATAAAAGCCTTGTTTCACACTGCTGTAACTTTAAGCCGAAGACAGCTGAGGGGTAATCACTGAAAAAACAGCCACTGACAAGTGATCATCTTTCACCAAAAATGATCTCACAACAATATTACAGAGAAAGCCAATAACAAATGACAAGATCAAGTCCCAAAAGCATGTTTCAGAGTAAAGTGATTCTTTACTTTTTTGGGGGGGTGTGTAAGCATGTAGTTCTAACTGTTAAGGAATCAGACATCATGTGCCACAAACTTGTTATCTCTACTACCAAAGGAGCTATTTCCCGCTATGCCTCTGTTTCAATAACATATTTCCATTAACTCATAAAAACACTTTAGGTACACGAAAGAAAACAAAATTTCAATTAAACTGAATGGCTGACGTCTTGCACTTCATCTGAATCGCAATTTAATCACACTGAGTGTTGTTAACTCTACGTGAGGTGAAGTAAGACACTGTACACTACAGTGAGTGTCTATCAAGACAGTCATTCTGCAAAATAAAAACCTTGGATGTGATGAGGAATGTCATAACAAATGGCTGGGCAGCTCAGAGCATTCTATTTCTATCTGACAATTTATAACTTTCAGTTACAAAATTTAAAACAAGTCATTCCTAGGATTCACCAGGTGGTGATGAATTCTTTTTTGCTTGCCCTAGGACCTTGCATTTCACTTTTGTTTACAAATGAGAGCTTGAGCATTCTGGGCTGGAAGATTGTTTTTTCTTTCAGAACCTGGATTCTCTCCCTTCATCCCCAGCTGGTCGCTAAGTCTTCTGTTGAGATACTTGCCGTCCATTTACGAGAGTTCCTTTCTAAGTAACTTGGTGTACTTTTCTTAAAATTTTGGATTTTTCTCTCTTTTGTGTTGCACTAGCAGCAGTTTGACTATAGTATGTTGTGCTGAGGTTCTTTTTTGATCACACCCATGCCTACAAGCTTCCTGCATTTCAATACCCACCTTTTTTCCAAACTGGAGTTTTCCGTTATTAGTTTGTTCAATAGATTTTCCATACTATTCTTTCCCCTATTTCTTCAGGAACACCCAAAATGTGAGTATTGGTTTATTTAATGGTATCCCATGGATTATAAACACTGCACTTGCCTTTTCGACTTTTTTTTCTTTTTTTTCTCATTTAATTACAGTGTTTTAAAAGACCTTTTTTCAAAGTCAGATGTTTCTTTCTGTTTCAAGAGCATGTTAAGGTTTTCTACCATGCTTTTTATCTGACATACTGACTTGTTTGGTTCATCTTCAATACCTATGGCTTTGCTGAATTTCCCATTCACATTATGCGCCGATTTCCTGGTTAAACTATTTTCTTCTTATAGCTCTTTGAGTAATTTTGCAATTATTCTTCTGAATTCTTTTTTAAATATTTCATCAATCTTCCTTTCTTCATGGTCAGAAATTAATGTATATGGCATTATTTTAAAGGCATAATATTATCTGTTCACTAATGTTTCTGGAGCCCCTACACTGATTTTTGCACATCTGGCAGATCACTATATCTCAATATTTGTCTATCAGTAATGCTGACAGGAATCAGTCAAGAATCAATTAGATACTTGGCTCTCATCTTTTTATACTGAATACTTTGGTTGAAAAAACAAGTCAGCATATTTCAAATGTTCATTTCTGATTATTAAGTTCTATTTCTTTACTCATTTGGATCTAACTAGTTGGCAGTACAGAATGAAGCTAGTTAATATTTACAAATAATTAAATTCTTGTATTTTAAGAGAACCTGAGAGAAGCTAAAACTAAATTGAGGAAATGCCACACCAATCCTGAATCTATCAGGCATACAGCCTACAGGATGTCACCATTTATTGATTTGATAAGTAGCGTTAAAAAGCATTTACACAACTTAGGATATAACAAATATTTAAAAGTTAAATAAAACAGAACACTTATGACCTTATTCAAAAGTGAAAGAATTTTGTTACATCCTAATTTTACAGGTAAGACAATAAATGCTAATTTTCAAAAAAGAGTAAGGTTCTGACAGTGTTTAATAATAGGTATACTACTATGATTATGCATATGCATATTTTGCTGATAATTCAAGACTAAAATTTTAATCTTTCAAAACTATGCAGATTAAGATAGTAAATCCATCTTCAACAGATAACTTCATGGGCAGCAGAGTCATACTTACACTGATCTCACCGATTTACTTTCACGTTTCAGAGTGAGTAAATGAAACTTTGCTATTGTATACACCTGCTGTTTCCAAAGGCTCATGGTGCTCACTAGAGAAGCCTTGGTTTCAGAAAGAATAAGTAAGCTCTCTTCCATTTCATCAAAAATTTTTGAATCCATTTCTTCATCTTGTTGCTGTTGAGTAAATACACTATAATCTATTTGTAAAAAAAAATAATAATAATAAAAATGTAATTTTGGTATATTCCTTTAAAAAATGAAGATCTTTATAAAGCATGCAAATTTAGAAAAAATTATTTTATTGCTCTAAAAAACAGAATTATAGAGAAAGTCAGAGAGTGAGGGAAGAGACAGAGAACTGTCTTCCATCTGTTGATTCACTCCCCAAATGGCTCTAAAAGCCAGTCCAGGGCCCGGCGCGGTGGCGCAAGTGGTTAAACGTCCTCGCCTTGCACGCCCGGGATCCCATATGGGCGCCGGTTCTAATCCCGGCAGCCCCGCTTCCCTTCCAGCTCCCTGCCTGTGGCCTGGGAAAGCAGCAGAGGACGGCCCAAAGCTTTGGGAACCTGCACCCGCGTGGGAGACCCGGAAGAGGCTCCTGGCTTCGGACCGGCATAGTATCGGCCCGTTGCGCTCACTTGGGGAGTGAATCATCGGACGGAAGATCTTCCTCTCTGTCTCTCCTCTCTGTATATCTGCCTTTCCAATGAAAAAATAATAAAAATAAAATCTTTAAAAAAAAAAAAAAAAAAAAGCCAGTCCAGGCTAGGCTGAGTTTCCTGTGCAGACAGCAAAGGTTCAAGCACTTGGGACACCTTTCAGTGTTCCCTAGTGCATTCACAAGGAACTGGATCAGAAACAGAGCAGTTAGGATTTGAACCAGTACCATATGGGATGCCAGAATCACAGGCAGTGATGTCTTAATCTGCTATGTCACGAACAATGACTCCACATGTGCCACATGTGTCAGCACATATCAGAACATGCTAGTGGTGACATGGAACAAATGGAACAAATGCTCATAGCTATTAAAGCTCATTGTATCCAATCTTCTGACCCACCAAACATCAGGCATAAGGGCACCACACACACACAACTTTACCAAAACATGTTTATAACATTTTTAGCAGACCCCCTATCCAGAATACTTATAAACTGCAAATAATTCAAATACTGACAAGCTAATGCATAAATGGTTGTAAAATTCACAATCATCATACACTGTGATAGATATACTGAATAGTATAAAATACTAAACATGAACAAACTACTATATAGCTAACTGTGTAACAACACAGTTGAACCTCACATAATCCTGCGTAAAGGAAGTTAAATGCAAGCGAGTCATGATTCCACAGGTTGAAAGGCAGTCTGAATAGATGCCTATATTTAAGACCTAGTTATCTCTACAACCACCCAGTATTTAAAGTGTTCATATGATTTCTTTCTGATTATAACCTAACAGTATGTCCTTATCAGACATCCGGCTTCACCATTTTTCAGAGTCTCTTCCTGGCTTGAGTTTTCTATTGAATTTAACTTTAGACTCATTTTTCAGCCAAAATTTGCTCTTCAACTTGATTTCCAGTCTTTAGAAGGATTTAAGAGCCAATTCCCTGTCAGTATCTTTTCCTAGCACTCCTGAAACTGCACATCGGCAACGATAATGTGAGCATTTGGAATTTTCCATTTAACAGAAGACACAATAAGCTTGTTCATGTAGGCCTATTCTTCATCATTTTGTATTTCTATACCTTTCACTTTTTTCTGAAAGGAACAGTTATAACTGCTTCTTCCCAGTCAGTCATCTTGCCTGCTTCTCCTTTTTTTACCCTAACAGCCTGCCCCTCTGCTGTTATCTGTGGTCTCTATATGTGATTCCATTCCATTCTATAACATCTATATTCTCAGCCCTGACTTAGCGCCACCTGCATTTCAAACAGTGCCCGTGTGTCTCAAGCTAAGTTTGTACTTTACCTTCTTCTTTCCATAAACCTATTCCTCTTTCCCTCTCAGGAAAAAGCCATCCCATTTCTAATTCTTAAGCCAAAACTTTAGGAAATACTGATTTTCCCTTTCCCAAGCCATTAGCAATCTATCAGCAATTACCATTACAACCAACGCAATTCAAAACTTGTTTTCACATATATTCACTACCATCCTACTTCAAGTGGAATTAACTTCTTTAATTTACCTAATTTACTTTGTAACTCCCATTACTCTTGTTGAATGTTTCAACCGTTTATTTACTTACCTGTTTATTCCTGCTCTTTCTTCCCTGAAATAATGTACATTTCACATGTTTATACAATTATTTGTCTAGCTTACCATCTAACTGATTTATTCTATAAAGCATTTTTAGTTTTGTTTTTACCTGCTTGGTCAATTTCTGCTTCGACTTCTAGCTTTAAGAATACATCTTCCAAAGTAGTCATGGACACACCATAAGAAATGACACCCAAATTTGAATGAGTGTCTAGTGCAGAAAACAAACCTAAAATTTAAAAAGAAGACGTATATATATAGGAATGGTATATACTCAAGTTCTGTATCATGCATTACTCTAAAATATGCTTTACAAATTAAATAGAAATGAATTCACTCTGCTATGGGGCAGGTGTTTTAGTGCAGTGAGTTAACCACTATCTGAAATCCAGGCATCCAAAATTGGTCTGATTTCAGTCCCAGCTATTCCACTTGCAATCCACTTCACTGCCAATGTGCTGGGCAATCAGCAGAGGACGTCCCATGTGCTTGTGCCCCTGCCACCAGCGTGGGCGACTCAGGAGAAGCTGCGGCTAGCTGGGCAGGGCACCAACAGGTGGGGGATGCCACCCTCCTACCATTTCTCCCCCACCCCTACATTCTCTCTCTCCCCCCACAACTCTGCTACTAATAAATAACTAGATCTTCACCAATAAATGTACTTTGTTACTAGGTTCTAAAGTTCTTTTGGTTAACACTTGAGATTTTCTGTTTTGTTTTTTGTTTTTTTTACTACCCAAATGGCCATAATGCCGAGTTGGGCCAGGCAAGTGCCAGGAGTCAGAGGCTTCTTCTAGGTCTCCCACTTGGATGGCAGGGTCCAGGTAGTACAGCCATTTTCCATGCTTTCCTGGTTGCATGAGCAGGCAGCTGGACTGAAAAAGAGCAGCCAGAACTCCAAATGATGCCCGTATGGCATCAAAGGCGGTGATTTAACCCACTGCATTGCAATGCTGGTGGCTTATTACTCTTTCCATTGCTCCAGACTCCAAGGAAAATTTTTATATGGATATACTGATTAGGTACTTATTACACTATAAGTTAAAATTTAAAACTATTTCATTGTACTTGAAATTAAATAGAGAATGTTAAAACTGAACAAATATAAATTCACCCAAATGGTTAGTTTCATTTCAAAATAACAAGAGTAAATATTTTACATGCTAATACGATTTCATTTTTAAAAATATTACTCAAAACAAAATCAATGAGAAGGGGATATTTTAAAAATCCCTCTTTCCTAACTGAGGATCAATGGATTCTCTAATAACTGTTTCTGTTGTAATAACACATGTCATGTACTATTAGGAAAACGATATGGAAAAGCTGAGAATCAGGAAGATAAATAATGAACTGGTAAATTAGTTCATTCTGACTTCATGAATTCTTTAAGGAAGCATTAGGGCCTATGCCCTTCAATTCCCTAAAACTCACTTTGAAATCCAGTGAAATAGTTTGACAACTTATGATAGAAAAGGGAGCAATAAAGTATCATGGTGAAGAACATGAAGTATGAGTCGGCCTATTTCTACCTGTGTTACTTGGGACAATTTCCTAAAACCTTTGGATATTTCAGTTTCTACACGAACAAATGTAAGCTGTTAAACCATTTATTTCATTCATAGATGTATTAAGAAAACTAATAATTGCAATGGTATAGCCCAGCATCACGCATAACATAAGCCTTATATCAATGCTATTCAAGCATAAGGACTAAATACATGCTGACAAAATGATAAGATGCACTAAGTTGTTACGTACCCACTAACACAGCTCATGAGTTTTTAATAAACAAAATCATTAGTCTACCATAGTACATTTTTTCCTGATTATGAGGTAAATGCTATGGGAATTTTGCACAACATACCTACATCAGTAATCCTTTTTTGGCTACAAACTCCCACGTGAAAGGAGACTGAGTTTGAGTTTCCCAGTAAAAACTGAGAAACAAAACATCAGTTAAGTCAAATGGTTGTCACATAGTTAATTATAAAATCATGAAACTAAAAAATTTGAGAACATACGTGAACAACACTATACGAACACATATAAAACAGAGTCTTTCTATAGTTCACGAAAATATGTATAATGAAAGAAACTACACAAATTTCAAATTTCTTTTGCAAAAAACAAAATCCTATATATTAACTACATTCTTTTACAAGCTTTTTGCAGCATTCTCATGGAAAAGCATTGCTCTCAGAAGGCCAAGAAGCAAATCTGGAACAAATCTCTTTTATTAATTGATTTTTGAAAGCATGGTACACCTTCTTTTTATGCATTTATATTTGTAACATATTAGTTTCTCACATGCTGTTCATAAGAAAAGTCAGCTGCCAATATTTCTGGTTTCTAAAACAAAATGAAGTGTAAATAAAATATCAACCCCGAATAACCAAAAAGGAAATCAAGAAAGCCTATTCCCAATGATGGGTCCCTATTCAACCAACCAACCGAAAGCAATACCTGAAAATTTGTCCATGTCCTTGAAAGGTAAGCTATACACAACTTGTTGGTCATTCTGTTGTAATAAAGTAGCTCCGGGTGTGTGCTGCTTAACCAGTGAGGAAAGGGATTCTGTGGCACAGAATCTATCTATACACATGCTAGAGAAAACCAAAGAATCGTAGTTTTTGTATTATTACTCAGCAAGCAACCAAAAGTAAATTCTGAATTCTTTAAAGTGAGTGTCATAAAATACAGTCAAAGAATTCTATGGCAAACCACAAAAAATAACAACAGTAATCAAGAATGTAAAAAAAAAAAATAGGTTAATGAAGAACGGATTATACCTCAGCCGGTAGCCAATTCCCCATTTGCTTTTGAGGAAAATGGAAGAACCAACACATTTCAACATTCCTTGTGATATAACAGCTTTCCGATCTGTAAACAGGGATTTACATTTCAATGTCTAGGTTAGTGACAGAATGAAGACTTGCCATTTGTTTTGTGGATTATGATATATAGGAGACACCTATGTGTTATCTCAATAATCTCCAGCACCACCTTTAGGAAGGTAACAGATTACCATCACACATTTTTCCAATGAGAATACTGAAGCAATAAGAAAAATCACTCACATATTTCATACACTATTAAATAACAAACCCAGAAACTGTACTCAAACAATATGACTTTAGTATTCACTTTCTTTATTTTACTTCAAACATTTCTTCACATAATGCTTGCTAAACTGAAAATGACTTAATTCATTTTATAACCAAAAGTGCAAAGATGCAACTAAAATAACAATAAAATTTGTTGTTTTTCAAATACAGTCTTAAAGGGATGAATAACTTGTTATTTATTAGACTGCAACTTTTTTAAAGACATCATTTGAATTTTAGACTTTTTAATTATTCTATTTATTCACAATCATGTATCAGTGTAAACTTCTATGCCTTTACTATGTATATGAGCATAAGAGTTCACAGAGCAGGTCTGAAAAAGTTATTCTGAGAAAGACTTGATTGCAAGTTTGGGTCCATTTTGACATTTTGGGAAAATTCCCAAAATCTTCAAAAAAGGTAACAATGGCTCATAATGTCTGTACAAAACTACAAACCAGTGTTTTATGCTAACCATCGGCTTTTTTGCAGGAGTCTGGATGGTGTACATGTGCATGGCAGAAGGTACCTATGTAACCAGCATCCAGTAAAAGCACTGGGCCTCTAACTCGCTTCAATGGCAAGCCACAGCTCGCTGCTGAAGAAATCAAGTGCGTGTTTTTTATTCCTCAAGATGCAGCATTTTTATGTCCATTGCTGTTTTGACTCATGACAAAAATTTTTGAGAATAAAGCAAAAATCTCACCAGCTAGAATGTCTGCTTCATCCATGAAATGAGTACTCAACACCGTCACCCGATTGGCTTTTCTGTATTTTAGAAGATTCCAAACAATGTGTCGAGAGCAGGGATCCATTCCTGCTGTGGGTTCATCTAGCAGCAGTATCTATGAGGACGGGTGAGGAAGGGCGCAGAAGCCTCAGAAAAACGGTAACCTTTAAATTTTATCTGTGAACACTCAAAACATTCAGTGGCTCTGTTTTTCATTTTTATTTGAACTCACATAAATTTTAAAACTAACGAGCTTGGGATAGGAATAGTTATCTTGGTTTAATGTTAAAAGACTAAAGTCTGTAACATATACGCCATAATTACATAAACAAAAAAAACTAAGCATATTGCCATTAAGAGTTAAATATGGAGCTACAATAACTGCTTTTTAGAGAGAAACATATCCCATATTAGTTTAAGGAAGCAATCTAATTTTAAACCATTTTTAATTAAAAACTCGTGCTGGTGGGTGTTGAGAGGAAGATTAATTAATATGAGGTTGGACTACAAAATCACCCCCAAGCTGTGGCAGGAACTGAGCTGCGGCAGGAGGTTCTGCAACGCAGGCACACACACTGTGCAGCCTTGTAGCTTACTGGAAGGCAGTGCATCAGCTGTTCTTCCTCATGCAGCACAGCCAGCAACACACAGCAACACACACAAAATCAAAGCACGACACTGACAGACTGAGGGATTCCTTTTACTTTCCAACTTTTATGAGGGGCTGTTCTAGATATACTTCTATTCTTCTATAGGGAATAGAAGAACACTGGTTTATTCAAGATGCCACAATTCAAATTTAACAAATATGAATTTGAGCCATATTTCCTTCAGATCTTTTCATAATTTTTTCAATTATTCTTTTTATTTGAGCGACAAAGGTGCCCTTCCACCTGTTGGCTCTCTCTCCCCTGTCCTGTATCAGGCAGGGAAGCAGCAGGCTGAGGGCAGGGAGGTGCTGTATTCCATCAGATCTCCTCTTGTGCCATCGGCCTGGGTACAAACGGGCAAGCGTGCAACCAGATTAGAAGCAGAGCAACTGTGACTCACACCAGGCTCTCGGATGCAGACAAGGGGTGAGTGCCGTGCTGACTTCCTGCCTTAGATCTTTAAAAAGATAAACCACTGCGGACACAATGTAAATCCATACCTTTAATTATCCAATAGTAAAAAGATGCTATGCTTTCCATAGACACATAACAGAATAGTTCATGTGGGTTTAAACTTTCTACACTGCGTCATATCTTTCTATAATATTTTGCATTCAACAATGAGCCCATTAGTGAATTATTTATTTACCTTTGGATTCCCAAGAACAGCAATTCCTAACGACAGCTTTCTTTTTTGACCACCACTTAATTTTTTAGCTTGGTTATCTTTTATAGCTTGCATGTCTAAATCTAGTAAAACTTTCTGCACCTGTAAAAATAAAATTTCAACAATGAAATAAAAAAAAAATCATACCATTTATGTAGGTATTGGTTTTTACTTTTTTTGAGTTTTAAAGTACTAGGTGTTCTAATATATGGCTTCAAGTAATCATAATGTAAAATGTTCCATTGGCATGAAACTATTTTGACATTTATTGAAAAACAGCTTAAAAATACATGTTAACACTCCTTTTAAGGTTCCATTTTACTCTGGTACTTTCTGGGGTAGAACTGGAAAAAGGACAGATCAGAGTGAAATACCTCGGTATGTGGGGGAGTGAGGGGTGGCAGCAGTGGACGAGGCAGTAAGGGAGAGGAGAAGGAGGGAGAAAGGGGGTGAGAATCCTGAAGACGAAACAAGGGCTATCTTACGTGGACCAACATCACATTCAATCCCAATTCTATTCCTTTGTAATAATCTTCTGTTTGTAGGATCAGAAAAGGTCTTAGAGTACATCTGTAATGTATACTTGCTACTAATGCTATTTAACTTATAGGGAATAAAAGTAAAGTTGCTATATGAATAACGTACTTCTTGTATTATGTTGTTGGCTGGTATGCCTTTGATTGAAGCCAAAATGGACAAATTTTCTTCTACAGTCAAAACGTCAAAATGTATATCTAACTGTGGACAAATGCCTATCATTTTTCTTGCTTCAAACATTTCATCTATTTCTGAAACTCTGTGTCCATATATGGATGCAATTCCTAAAAGAAAATACATATTTAAGTTTGTATTAAATATGGTAAGTATTAAAATGTGCATGCTTTAATGTATTCTATTATTTACTTATTGTAATATCAGATTATAAGTCAATAATGAATTTAAATGTGGAAGACACAGTATACTTTCATTTACCTATTACTGTTAAAGTGATTCCCACCTAAATTTCAACTTCATTTTCCTTCACTTCCAGGCCATAATATATTGTAAACATAAATGTCTATAGGCATATTACTTATATTCCAGTAGCAATTTCTCATTTTTTCTTTATATTACATTTTAATGAGAGATCAAATACTCAAGTTTTATCATAGCCAGCTGTGGCATCTCCGGAACATTACAGTACCTCTAAATTCCAGCTTTAAAAAATTTTTTTTTAATTCCAGCTTTTTATAAACTGAATACTACTGACTAGCTGACTTAAGAGTGATAATGGGGAATCCTATCAAAAACCATGATTTCTAATATAAACGTTAAGGAACTTACTAACATCAATGAGTGATACAACATAAGCGACAAAGCCAAGCTAGTCTTTAAAAATCAAACCGCATTTAAAAGGTTGAAATGCAGATTCAACGTAACGGCCTTTTCATAAATTAAACTATTTACTCTGACTCTATATTCAGCTGCTGTGGGGACATATGGCTGCTGCACTGAATTATCACCCAAGGAATAATTACAGATCAAAGTGCACATCTGAGGTACTGCTTTTAAAATTTTATTTTAGTCAATGGTATTCATGTTTACCAGTTTATTTTCAAAATATTGCTCTGTACTTAAAATTCTGATTTTCTCAACAGGAAATATTCTATATACAATTTAATTTCTACTTGGTAACCAGTTTGCTCTTAACTGAAAAAGAATAAGCAAACATCCATACATATACAACATATATGTATGTTGACACACATATACACGTACAAATATGTGATCAAAATAGGTACAAAAAAAGGACTAACTTATATTCTATTAAAAAATCCAAATATGTCAAAACAAAAACTTTCATAGACACTGAAAGTATTCCCAAGTCACTGAAAAAATCATTCAGCATACATTTAAGGAAAAACAATTATTATATATTGTGATACCTTAGTTAAAAGCATTAAAAAAAACAAAGTTGGAAATGCTACCTAAGTCAGCAAATTCTTACCTTCAGAAGGTGGGCACAGTCCACAAAGAATATTCATCAATGTACTTTTCCCTGTTCCACTGTGACCAAGTAATGCAGTAATCTGGCCCTCATATATGTCAAAGGACAAATCTAATTAAGGGAAAAAATAAACTTCAGGAGTAATTTTTTTTGGCATTTCTCTCAGTTACATAATTCATAATACTTACATAATCTTAAGGGAATACATGCAAAGATACAAAGTTGTCAGCACATTGTTTTGCTTCTTTGTCATAATCAATGCTAAAAACAGTGTAAAAGAGGACTGAAATTTTTTTTTGTTCATACTGTAAGATTTAAATATTGGGGGATTTTCTTTGTGCTGACTGTGACTTCCAAGAGATTTAAAACAAACAGAAGAGATGGTCTCTCTCAAGGACTGTTAGAGAAGGGTGAAGGTAGAGCAGAGATGCGTCTATTGCATGACAGGTGAGAGCGAGGACCAGGGAGGGAACAGGCCTCCACGGGGCTCCTTCGGAAGAAGAGCTTACAAGTGGTCTGCAAGACTGGGCCTCCTGACGCGTGCTGCACCCAGCAGCCGAAGGAATGTGAGGGCAAGAAGTTAGTGTCAGCCACCAAGGAGGGCTTGGAACTCAGCAAACGATGAGGAACAGAAAAAGGAAACAGGAAGGAGAAAAAGGTGTGTAAAGGTGATTATTTCAGACTAGCGCTTTCTCTGGGCTGCGCTGCCACAGCACACGTGGCTGAACAGCAAACATGGAAGGGGATCATGGGAACTCAGGATCATGGGAACTCAACAATGGACTACACCGCTACAAAGCAAAACAAAGCAGAAAGCACGCAGAGAGAAGCCCTGACTACTCGGTTAAGGAGGCCTTGATACAAAAGACAGAGCCTGACAACGACAGGTCTGTGAGAAATCTGGTCAGCTTACTTTAGGAGCTGCACTCCTTCATTCCAACATCAGTCTGGAAGGTTCTCAGGTACAGGCTGACAGAATCTACAAGATGATTAAAGGTGCTCTGGGAGTTGATGAGGTTGGCCCAGGGTTGACAGCACTGCTGCTGTCCCAACCCAGAGAGTGACGACACAGTATGCAGGGAACAGACTAAGCCATGCCCGAAAGATGACTTGGACCCATGCACAGTACTTCACCTTCAATCCTTCTGGAAATAAGTTTTTAAGGACTTTTTTTCCCATGATATTCATTAATGTTTAAAAAAAATCTGTACATCATGTCAACCATTTAATGGAAAGGTAAGATTTGTTTCTACTTCTAAGTGACACTGTGAAGTTAGGCAAAAGAAGAGCTAGTGATGCTTTTCTTGTTTCACTCTGGCTTATAGCAGATCAGCTTACACTTGTTCTAAGCAAAGAATGAAATATAAAATAAGAGAGAAGCATTACATGTCGAGGCCACTTAGGACAATGGCAAGCAAAACCACACAGCATGTGAAAAGACACGGAGTAAGGAGCTCAGAATATAAGAAACTCAAAGCAAGACTACAAACATGCTTGTGTTTATCTCAGGAGAGTAAAAATGCACATACACACACGTGACACACAGGCAAGTTTGTGGAAACATTTTAGAAAAGTAACATTTCAAGGTATAATCATCAACTCCCAGAAAATTAAGGAACAGAGACTGATTCCATTCACATAAAGTTCTATAATCCAGGCAAATATGACTCATTATCTGACATCTTCACTATGTAGGAAAAAAGGGAAAGTAATAAATCAACCAAAATATGATATACATGGTTGTCTTCAAAAAGCTCATAAATAACACATATTATGAAAAACGTACATATGTATTTCAAAACTGAACTTCTCAACTCCATTTTTCCCTGACCACTTTTAAGTATGCTCTTCTTACAAATCCTTGGATACGGTCACACATACTGAAGGAAAAGGGGACTTATGAGCCATTCAGAGACGTAACCATGATGTTTAAAAAACTAAATATATTTTCACAGCAATCCTGTCCTCACTTGCCTGGTCGGCACAGTGGTTTTTAAGTTTCTCCTGCAGCCCGAGTCACATCCACCTAAGCTTACAACCTGTCACTGTGAATACGCCAAACAGCACACCCATCCTGTCTCTCTCCCCTGTGACCCTTGCGCCTGTACCTCAGGAGAGAAGCGTACTGCGCCCTCTCCGGAGACTAGAGGATGATAACACACACGGCAGATTCTCCCTCTCGATATTGTTGGGTTCTGAACAACATTTACTCTCAACACCCAGTTAGCTCCAATTCTGCTCTGCCATGGATTATCCACCAAGAATGGCAATAGACGATCGAGAAATTCTCTAACTGCTTTAAGTCTAGCCCCTAGATTAGTCGATCCCTTTGCAATGAAATGAGAAAAAGGGCAATTCTATCATACGCTGGGTCATTCAAGTAAATGCCCAGTGGCTCTTTTGTGAGATACTGTTTTACTTCTATGCTGATCCGCACAGAAAGGTTGTTTGCAGTCAAGAAGACATCAAGAAAAAACTCAGCTCAACAGGAAGCCATCACCAGGTGGCCTTATTTTTCTTGTAGAGACTACATAGGTCAGAAGCAAGGCACGTTTTTCATGATGGAGCTCTGATACAAGGAAAACAGGTTAGTCAGGACTAACTTATTTATAGGACAAATGCTGTCTGTGATATTAAGATATATGATATTGTAATTCTTTGAATTACAAGAAATGTAATTAGTCATCAAGACAAATAAATTTACTTTCAAGAAATCAGTGAAGAAACCAGCTCATACGCTATGGAATACCACCTTTCACCCTTCCTGAACAAAGCAGACTGACAACACCAGTATGTGTACATACACTCGGCTGGCTCTACACTGACACACTAACACATAAGCATCCTGCAAACCCCAGGACAGTTCTCCATAACAAACAATTCTCTGACCCCAAATCCCAGTGTTAGGGAAAAAGAATTTTTCAAAAATAACTAAGATATATACATATATGTGATAGCAAAATGAAAAAGAACACACACTCATTAAAGTGGTTGAATATTTTTCATCTTAATCCAGTTACTTTTCCCTTTATGACTTTGTTCCCACTTCTCATAAATGATAATCACATATCTATAAGCTAGACAGAAAATTCCCCATTACTTATACAAACAACTTTCCCATTTGTATTTTACAGATCAAAGACAAGGAAAGCTACTTACTTCTCAAAGCTTCCACATTTTGACCTTTTTTCCTGTATGTCTTCTGAATACCACTAATTCTGAAAAACAGTGTTTTTAAGTGCTCAAAGCAGTTTATTACAAGTGTGTATTTCTTTATTCTAAGAATTTTAAGACAAATGATAAAGGCCCCTCCTATTAAAACAATGTCAATGAAAGTTGATATTGGTTGTAAAATTATGTTAAAGCTACAAGAGAAATGTGTAATAGTCATTTCCATTAAAAGTGCCATTCATTCTTTTTTATGTGAAGATTCTAAAAAGAGAGAATTTCAATTCAATGTATTAGTTTTTTTGCACCACTGATGAGTCAATTATTTCTTAGCTGAAATGCTAAAAATCAGATGTCATCATATTCCAACACAAATTTAAATCTACAAATTGTCTATAAGTATAAAGTGATTTTTTTCCCCTTCCATTTATTTTTTTTATAATCTTTAGAAGAAAATTAATTAAACCCTGCATTTTACCCCTGAGAAGATAGACCATTTACTGGTCTGCTGCTCACATCTAAGCAATTTTGAATGTCCCATGCTATAATGTGTTTTTCCTGAATTTATAAAATATATTTTACTTCATTTTAAATTGTTTTTACTTATTTTCTTCCACATTTTCAAAAGATTTTGTGTTGGCTGAACTAGCCAGGGTGTAACAAACTAAGCCTCTGTCTAAAGTGCCAACATTTTATACGGTTGCAGGTTCAAGTCCCAGCTACCCCACTTACAATCCAGCTCCCTGTCAATGGCCTGGGAAAGCACTGGAAAATGGCCAGAGTCCTTGGACCCTTGGACGCACATTAAGTGAGGCATTTCCTGACTCTAGCTTCAGACCAGCTCAGCTCCAGGCATTTTGGTCATTTGAGGAGTAAACCAGAGGATGCAAGATCTTTCTGTCTCTCTCCTCTCTCTCAAATTAAAAAAACAAAATCAATCTTAAAAAAAAAAATCACTTATGCATCTATTAAAACAAGGGGGGAGGCCTACGGCAGTTTTTAAAACTAAACTGTAAAAGACTGAATCATACCTTATGGCTTCTTTTCCTACAAATTCTGAAGAAACAGGCTCAACAATTTCACTGAAGCTAACACCTCCATTAATATTGCCCTCTGATAACTCTTTATAATTTCTTTTACTCTTTGACCAATATGATGGCTTCAGAAAATAGAAAGATGATCTCCGTAAGCCAAATTCTCCTGAAAAACAAAAATTTTAATTACAACAGATTGCTTCTAAAAATTGGTTTTAAAATCATAGGTGCAAGCAATTAGCTGCTAATTTAATTTCAATTAGAATTGAAAATCCACACAGAGCTAGTAGTTACCTTATAAGACAAGTTTACCACATAGACAAAAGTAATGAGGAACTCAAGAAGAAAGGGCAAGGAGAAGGTTGATATCTAGTATTACTATTCAGTCCCCAGGAGCTAGCCGGAGATAACATATGGGAGAGGCCAACAGGATTTATAAAACTGCATCATCGTTTTGATTCCTAAACTAATAAAATATTTCAATTTAAAAAGATTATCGCAGGAATGGACCAAATTAAGAAGTTCAGCTATAGACTTAAAGCTTTCAAAACAAATGACTCCATTTTCACACAACGTTCTTAGGTTTACTAGTTGTTAAGGCGTAAGGAACAAAATATATTTATTTAAAACCAAATTAAAAGATCTAGCAATGAGCACAACTTATCAGGGGGAAAAAAGATATGTTGACATATTCGCTAAAAAAAAAAAGCCTTAAATTTTTCATAAAGTAAAATCCAGCAACTGCTGACATACCTGGAATGACTTGATCAAGATACACAGCCAACAGGACATAGAATATACTATTAAGTGCTAGCATGATAATAGTAATAATTAGAGGATATGGGCCTTCTGTTAAATTATAAAATAGAGCACCTTCGCTGAAATCTTCTAAATGCATGACCTGAAAAATAGAAACACCAACATTTTTACGAAAAACAATAAAAGCAAAAGTTAGCACTACCTATTATTACTCATTATAAATCCAGATGTCAGTCACCAAAACTGGCTTTTTAACAGGTTATGGTCTGCAAAATAGTAGCATTAGTTTATAAGAACAATAAGGATTTCACCAAAACATAAACGAACAATGCCTTTGGATCACGTGCTTTAATAACACGCTTCTTAGATGAAGCAGCAATGTTCTGAACATTAAGACCTGATTTGTGTCCCAGTCTTGCAATTTAGGTGCATAACCTCTAATTATTCCACTGTGATTCCATTTTCCTCATTTGTGAAATAAAAAAGGTAAATTAAGTAACACTGAGAAGTCCTGCTACTCTCAGCAAAAACCTATGGATCCACAACGTGGCCTTCCTAAAATAAGAGGGACGCAGTGGATACTCAAATGTATAATAACTCTGAGCTGTCAACTTACTTAAAATCTGTTAAACTCAGAATTCATAAACCACCCTGCTTTAGTTATAAATCAGGCTATCCTAAAAAACACACTTATTCACTACATTTGATTTACACATAAGCTAAATTTATGTCCTATTATACAAAGCAGCATCTTAAAATATTTTTTAACTTAGAAATTTGTCTATAGTGTGTGGACTAATAAAAATTAAATTTATAAATGTAAGTGCTATGTAAATAAATGATAACCCCATGAAATCCAGACCAACAAAATCTTCTTGGCCTACCTATGTCACAACTATACTCACAGTAAATCTACTTTGCTCCATCCACAATTTCCTGGCGCTCTATAAAATGATAGCAATGTAACCAGGCAATAAAGCAATTTGGACCGACACTTAAAACCACTGGTTTCTAACAAAGTTATTGCCATTAAAAAAAGTATTGAGAAAAATTAGCAAATGGTGGAGAACATACAAGTGAAATATCTAATTGAAAAATTTACAATTGAAAACTTTAAGAAAAACAGCTCTAAAATTTTGACCAAACTCAAATACATTTCTTTCTCAATATAAAATTTTACAACAACATTTTTTTATAATTAAATAAAGTGCTCTTAGCAGTGTAAGAAGCTGCATGAGGGCCTGACATACTAGCCTAGTGGCTAAAGTCCTCGCCTTGCATGTGGCAAGATCCCATACGGGTGCCGGTTTGTATCCCAGCAGCCCCACTTCCCATCCAGCTCACTGCTTGGGGCCTGGGAAAGTAGTCTAGGACAGCCCAAAGCCTTGGGACCCTGCACCTGCGTGGGAGACCCAGAAGAAGCTCCTGGCTCCTGGCTTCGGATGGATGGGCTCAGCTCTGGTTACAGCGGCCACTTGGTGAATGAGCAAGTGGATGGAAGATCTTTCTCTCTGTCTCTTCTTCTCTTTATATCTGACTTTCCAATAAATAAATCTTTAAAAGAAAGCAGCTACATGCAACCAGAAAGAAAATATCTCATAAATGCAAGACTAGCGTGTTACCTACCTGTGCAATACCAATCAGAAAAGTGCACTGACAGAAGGGACTGAAAAGCCAGACCAGGGATTTGGGAAAACTTTCTACAAAGATGATACAAAGTCCAATAAATCCAAAAGCTACAGTGATGAAAAATTCAACTATTCCAACATGTTTTGACTTTTTAAAAAGAGGTGTCAGCATTAAAGCAAAAAACACCTATAAAATAAAAATATTAAAGTTAATGCATTATTCACAGGCACTTGCAAAGAAACAAATTTTCCTTACAAAGCAAATCATTTTCCTTGGTAAATACACTCATTAAAACATAATTGTCATTTCTTAACATTATATTTTCATACAAATAGTGATACTTAAACATCTAAAGCCTTAAAAACTTAAAGTGACAGCATTTTGTGTCAGATTAACCATACATTCCCATGTGTTTCTGCAGTTAGATGTGAAGATGTGTGAATAACAAATTTGTAAACATAATGTGGTGATAACAGACAACACAAGTTTTTTAAAAATCAGGTAATTATATATGATAATTATAAACAGAAGTCTTTCAGTTATTTTTTTAGAAGATTTATCCATTTTTATTTGAAAGGCAGATTTTTTCAGAGAAGGAAAGACAGCTGTTTCACTCCACAAACTCCCACAACCACTGGAATTGAGCCAATTGGAAGCCCAGAGCCTCCTTTAGGTCCGAGCCATCCTCCGCTGCTTTCCCAGGCCATAAGCCATTAGCCAGATGAACACTATGCTGCAGCAGCTTAAGCTGCTGCCTGTGATGCCAGCATCTCAGATACGGGGGCACACACTCAAGTCCCAGCTGCTCCTCCCCCCATCCAGTTCCCTGCTAATACACCTGGGAAAACAGCCGAGATGGCCAAGGACTTTGTCTCTGGGACCATTTGGGAATTTTAAGATCTCTTTCTCTAATTCTCTCTTTATATAACTTTGCCTTTCAAATAAAAATAAATCTTCAAAAAATCCAGCATTCAGCCAATATTCCAAATATTGAGAATGCTTAAAATATTCATGTGCAAATAAACACCTTTAAAAATAATCATCCTTTAGCATTAACTAATTTGGAACATTTAGAATTTCATGAGGATTAAGAAAAGGCTGGCAGTGAACAATCTACATTACGTACAATCACATAAACATTATTATATTATAAACAGATTCAAGGGGGTTGTATGCATCACAAGAAAACAAACCAGTGTAAGGCTGTTTTGTAACACTTCTAAAAAATCTGGAAGCATAATGCCACATCATTTACTGAGTCATTTATCAGGAACGTAGCCATCATCTGTCTTTCATGATAAACTGACCATAACTAAACCAAAGAAAAACACTTTGTTATCCTACCAGATATTCTGACAGTTACTTATGCCTATTTCAATGTAAAATACTTACAGATGCTAATCCATAGAGGAAAAAAAGGAGAAATATCACAATGCTGCTGCTCTGAGGAAATAACGAAGAAGCTGTTGCAATGACTGCCATAAGAAGGGACATAAGAAAAATCAAACTTGTATACAGAAGAACCCAGGAAAGCCTAAAATGCAAATGCAAATGCAAATAAATGTGTGGTCAAATACATATTTTTTAAAGATTTATTTATTTTTATTGCAAAGTCAGATATAGAGAGAGAAGGAAAGACAGAGAGGATGATCTTCCGTCCAATGATTCACTCCCCAAGTGACCACAATGGCCGGTACTGTGCCAATCCGAAGTCAGGAGCCAGGAGCTCTTCTGGGTCTCCCACATGGGTGCAGGGTCCCAAGGCTTTGGGCTGTCCTAGACTGCTTTCTCAGATCACAAGCAGAGAATTGGCTGGGAAGTGGAGTCGTTAGGATTAGAACCGGCGTGCATATGGGATCCTGGCGCGTTCAAGGCGAGCACTTTAGCTGCTAGGCCACCACGCCAGGCCAAATGCATATATTTTAATAAATTTAATAAAATTTCAGAAACTGAGACAGCTCAATTCATTGGGCTCCTGGTCTGAGTTCTTCCACCTAGCTTCAGCTGACCCAGTTCCACGTGCCCCAGGCACTCAGTGAGTGAACTGGCACATGGGGAACTTATACTCGCATATTCTTGTTCTCTATCTCTGGCTCTCTTTCTGTAGCTTCAATTTCAGCCCAGCTTTTTCTCAAAAAAAAAAAAAAAAAGCTTCTATAAAATTATCATTTGTAAAAATGTGCTGATATTTAAAGTTAACTAGTGCATACATGTCTTTTCTCATGCTTCTTTAAAAATAATTTGTGTACTGTGTCAATTGACCCAATTAACTACAACTTTTCAAGAAAAAACATTTCATATGCTATGTATACTACTTTAATCACTGTAACTACAATAGGAAACCACATATAATCCTGTGCTAGGATATCAGGGAGGACTGCTACAGGTAAGTGATTACCAACATCTCTTATTACCTTCTGTACACTGTAATATATAATGCAATGCAAGGACCATGCCTCATGAGTACAAAAATAACGTACAATAAAACTTAAACCTGCACTGGCAATACAAGCTTTCACCTTTCTATACCCTTACCTTACGACATAGCAAACACAGTTGAAGCTTAAAAAGTTTCAAATGTCAAAAAAGGCAATTATAAGAAAGCAGGCTCAGAACCTTAAAATTACAATTCTGAACAGCTGTATAATATAAATTATACCAAAAATAAACTTATAACATACCAAAAGGCGGTGTCATGAAGTCCCATTATCTTCAAAAATTCTTTGAGCTTTTTTTCTTTCTCTGCAACAATATGAATTGCCAAAAAGTACCCAAAAGGTGAAAATGCTATAACCAGGTATATTAAGATCACTCCTCGAGGAAAAGTATCTATTTCCACAACAGCACTTTCACCCATAATTACAGCTTTAGTTGACTCCAGCTCCCTCCAAAGAGAAACGTTGGTCTTCAACTGTGATTAGAAAATATAAACACATTAAATCAATTTAGTTATTATTTCATTCCTAATACATAACCCCAAATTTGGTCAATAATCCAGTAAAAATACAATCCTCAAGAAGTTACTGAGTGACCTCAAATAAAAATACGTACAAAAAGCTACATATGTAAAATAGAGTAGAATATTTCTTTTAATTCACTATGGAAGCATATCACAAAGTTTAAAGTCTGAAGTTGGTGAGTACACAAATTTTGATTATATAATTTCTCAAAGAAAATATAATTTCTCAATTACCTTTAGCAGACAATTGCATACATGTTAATAAAATATATATAACCTCAAAATTAAGGGATTTATGAATAATTATTTGTGTCATTATCCCATTGACTGTTTTTAAAATGTTCTTTTAAACAGCATGTGTTACTGCTTTACGATTTGTACACGCAGTAAAAACAGAACTACAAAACAATGTCACATGGTATTTCCAACATCCAACTGAATGTGAATTGAGATCATGTCTGCTGATCCATGATCCACTGTGGAGAGAATAAGAGAGACCAATCTTCCTTCCACTTATTAACTCCCCAAATGACTGCAATGGCCAGGGCTGGAACAGGACAAAGCCAGGAGCCTGGAACTTTTCAGGTCTCCCACGAGGATGGCAGGGACTCAAGTAGTTGGCTATCTTCTGCTTTTCCAGGCACATTAGCAGGGAGCTAGGAAGTATTAGAATAGGATTCCTTCTTTATCAAATGTACCTGAATAATAGCAGCATCTATGGATGCCTGTAGAACTGTGAATCCCGAGGACCAATACTGAGCTGCCTCACAGGACTTGGAACAGCCAGCTATTGGGGAGAAAACACGAAGTGTAAGATGTTACACTGCAAGCAAGTCCTTTCTGTAATAGCAAAAGATACAGAATCACCGGGTGTTCATTCAAAATGGTGAAACAGAGCAGTTATTTGTGTTAGGATACTGAATGGTATATGAACAAAAATGGAGAAGCAATTGTAAAAATTGCCAGTTAAAATATTGTTAAGGCAAGTTCTAAAATGATTTGGCTTCAAAGTGCCTGATAGTGCAAGAATCGGTCTAGTTAAAAAAACATAAACAAGAACTCCTATAAAAGCTTTCTGGAACCAAATTACAAACTCAGTGCTTGACACAATGATTCTAACATCTCTGAATAAATATTTGTGGCTGATAATATCTCAATAGTTTAAACACTGAAAGTTGTTTCCCATATTTCAAATACAAAACTAAGGATATACACTGGTAGAAAATATTAAAACCTTAACATTTCTATCATGTTGTAAAATAACAGGAAATAAAAGAGTTGTAAAGTCATAAAATATTAGATATAATTTTATTTTATGCTAATATAATTGATATGTTAAAATCAGCAACACACTATAATATGTTGGTGTGTAATATAGATAAATATTTATATATACATATTTTATGCCACACTTGACAATCTTCTTATCTGAACATATAATCACAGTTGAAAATGCCGATGCTGACTCTGATCAAGTTTTTTTGAGAGGCCAAGATATGCAAGATCTCTTCTGGAGAGGCCGAGGTATGTGTGGAGGCTGAGTTTTACCTAGGGCTACTCACCTCTCGAGTCCATATAAACAGAAGACACTGGGATCATGTCAGGGAAAAACCGGAGTTCGTAGGACATGAAGTCTTTGAAAACCACGCCTATGAAGTTGCTGGACTTAGAAATACTGGATTCCACCATTTCTTTTTCATTTGTATATTCTTCAATAGTAATGACTGTAAAATAATAAAATATAGTTAACTCACCAAGTAAAATAGCTTAATACAGCAAATCAATTTTATAATTACTCTTGATGAATGGACCATTTTATAAACATCTAGTTTACTGTCTAAGAAAATGTTAAAGAACAAACAAAAAAGAAAATGCTGAAGAACAAATGAAATAGTGCAATTATAGATTCTACACAGCTGTCACTGAATCACATAAATTACATGTCAGTGTGATATGTCTGTTATAAATATCATAAAGGATGGTTTAAAATAGTATGCAGGATGTTATTTCATTACATGACTGTCATTTTTCAAAACCTGAAGTAACTGTACTAAACTTCAATGAAGAGTGCGCTTCTGATGTCATCTTTACTCTTTCAATCCACTCACTACTGCTTTACTTTCAGAAAGATCCTTACATTTAAGATAACAGGCAGCAATGAACTTAAAAATTAAGTAGCAATTAATTTATATTTTTTAAATAGAATAACTCCTTAACAAATGGATACTCTATTTTACAATGTTTTTCCTTTTGAAGAGAATTACTTAATATTTTTCAGAAAATAAGTTATATCTAAATAACTATGATTAAATTCTTTGAACGTAAAGTGCCACTGAAATTCAGTATTGCTTATGCCTTTTCTAGAAAGTATATGGGGAAAGTACCCTAATTATTCTCATACATCACATCAAATTAATATTAAAATGTGTTCTTAAACTTACGTTAAACTTGTGATTATAAATTCAAAGTATGACAATTAATCTTTGACAGGAGAACTGAAAATAATTCAGGGGAAAAAAGGTTGGTCTATTTGACATATGCTGTTGGGACAACTGGATACCAGCTTGCAGAAGTAAGATGCAAAACCCTCACCTCTCCCCTTTTTCAAAAATCAGCTCTGAATGGATCAAAGACCTAAATCTGCACCCAGAAACCATCAAATTATTAGAAGAAAAACCAAAAATATAGGAAGCATTCTGCAAGATTAAGCATTGGTATAGATTTCTTAGAAAAGTCACCAAAAGCAGATACTCAAAGCCAAACAAAGAAATGGGACTACATCAAACTGAGAAGCTTCTATACAGCAAAATAGACTATCAATAAAGTTAAGAAACAACAGAATGGAAAAAAATCTTTGCGCACTAAATAACAGGTGACTAATATCCAGGATTTACAAAGAGCTTCAGAAACTCAACAACAGCAAAGCAGACTACCCTGTGAATAAATGGGTGAAGGAAATGAACAGGCATTTTTCAAAAGAAAAAATTCAAATGGCTAACAGACATATGAAAAAATCCTTAAGATCCCTAGCTTTCTGGGAAATAAATATCAAAACCACACTGAGGCTCTATCTAACTCCAGTGAGACTGAGACTGGCTTGCATTCAGAACTCTAATAATAACACCTGTTGGCAGGGATGTGTGGTAAAAGCAATCTTACTCCACTGGTGGGAGTGTAGGCTTATAGTAATCACTATGGAAGTCAGTAAGCTGAGTGTTCAACTGAAAACTCATCTACCATCTCACCCAGCTATTCCACTCCTGGGAATATATCTAAATGAAGCAAAATCTTCATATCAGAAAGTGACCTGCAACCCCATAGTTACAGCAGCACAATCTACAATAGCAAATACATGGAAACAACCCAGATGCCTGTCAAAAGAGGACTGGATAAAGAAACTGAGATAAATCAACTCTATAGAATACTATTCTGCCATTCTAATGAATGAAATTCTGCCATTGCAACAAAATGGCCCTAACTGGAGACCATTATGCTCAGGGAAATAAGCCAGTCATAAAACTACAAATATTATGTTTTCTCTGATGTAAGGCAGCATTCATACATGTTCATACATGCATATACTCTCTAAGTACATACATACATACATTCTCAAAGATGAACTGTATAATGGAAGTAAAAATATGTTGCAGTATACATCTCTAGTCTTGAATAAAAAGAGGACTCCAGATAAAGCTGTTAACTATACCTTGACAATATGATATACCACTGCCCATACCTACAATACCATGATGTGTTTAAATAGCAGAATGTTGAACTTGTGACTACTGCTGAAGGACTATACTGTTGCAACAATATGAGAGAAAATAGCTGGGGTAGGGTAATGCGAAGGGATGTAAAGGAGGTGTGTGTGTATGTTGGGGGGGAGGAAATCCCTAAACCTACAAACGTGTATCATGGAAAATAATAATAAAAAAGAAACATAAAGCTGCAGAATTCAATTAATTTTATATCAGTACAAAACCATACCTTCATGGAGGGACATATTTTTAAGAACTAGGAATGCTATTTACTTAGTAAAGCAAAGTGGTAAATAATGAAAAGGCTTCACATTATACAAAGAATACATATTCCAGTTCACAATACCATCAGGAAGATGATCAGTAGACACTTTCTGCATGATGCTGCTTGTGATATTGGTTACTGGAGTATATCCAAGAATTCTGTTAGAGAGGATAGACTTGTCCATGGGGTTAAGTTCTCTATCAGGCATCTCTTCATACTTCTTATTTGGATGCAATATGCTAATTAATATTAACCAAAATAAAAAAAACAGTGGAAAAAGAATCTCCTATAATAAAAGAAAGAAATTCATTACAAAGTATAACAATGGCACCAAAAATCACCAATATTTTTATACAAATTATGTATTTAATACTAAGAAAAAACATGAAGAATTTGATTGCTCTTTGTCTTGTACAAAAAGTAAAAGCAGTTTTATCTCAATTACTGTGTTGAATCTCTCATTAAACACAATAGGCAAATAGTAAATAGTAAGAGATTTTTCCTGTACATTTAGTTTTATTCATATAGTTTAAACTTGAGCCATAAAAAAATGAGTGACAGGAATACTTAAATATCATAGGTTACTCATGTAAAATACAATAAAGTTATTTGTAATTTTATTTAAAGTAACTAGCCAAACATCTTTGTAAGGGAACATCATGAAAATGTTTTGTTTAGATTCTGATTTATAAATTGCACTTTAACAACATCTAAATTTATACCAAACTATACTCAGCTATAGCAGAAGGAGAAAGTATTATTTTTTCCAGCTATTCAATTATTCCGCTGGTTTGAAAAGATGAAAAATGTATTTTCATCCTTTGAGATGATTAGTAGTTACTTAGCTACAGTTCTTAGTTTCACTTATATTTAAAAGTAATGTTTGATGTTGTGACATAATGACATGACTAACTATGACATAATTCTAGCATTCTTGGGCAACTCAATCCATAGACCACAGAATGAGAGATTTGGGCAAACAAAGTTATCTGTGGAATGTTAGTTCATGAAACCTGGGAAATGCATGCCTACATGTTCAAAATTAAGCACTGATGCTAGAAATTAACTAAACTGCGTCATCATTAATAAAACGTTTCAACATTTAGAGACATTACTATGTCATTGTAAAATACAGTAGACAACAGGCAAGGGAGAAGAGAGAAGGAGGAAAGGCAGAGAAAGGGGGAACCCTATACCTACAAAATTATATAGCAGAAAATAAGAGTTTAAAAGATGATGACATTAGGTAATTCAGTTATTTTTCTATGGTTGACAAAACACAAGTTCTTACTTTACAAATGAATTAAAGGGAGCAAAGGAAATACTACAAACACATTAATATTAATAGTTTCTTAAGGACAAAATATACCAACACAAAAGAGAGTGAAACCAAGCATAAGGAAAAGTGTAATTTACCTGAACACTACTTTTTTTAGTCCTGCATTTAACTAGGTAATTCTTCAGCAGCAGTGTTCTGGTCTGTCTCCAAACCCCCACCTCCCTAATTGCAGTGGCCATGCTTTTGGATCAACCTAAAAATGGGTGGAGGGAAAAACAAACCAACCTGAAATCAAACAATAAAGCAATAAACTGCATGTCAGTATGCAGAGATGCTTCAGTCCCACATAAATTAAGACATTAAAAAACACCTTCTAGCACATCTCTCCAATCTGGATAGAATGGATAAAGGAACACTTTAAGGATTCTAAACACACACACACACACATACACACACACACCCAGCCTGATAGCAAGGGTCAGGGAGTGGGAGGTAGGAAGGAGACCAGAATTTGAAATACCACCAAACCTGCAAGGAGGTTATCATTTTTTCTCTTTTGGTATCTGTGGCTTCAGCAATAGCAAACGCAAATCTTAATGCTCAAGGAGAATGGAGAAATGCCAAAACTGTTTTCTGTGCTTTTCAGTGTGCCCATCCCCAAACGATCCCGTGATGGCAGCACCAGCCTAAGAAGTCTACTGAGGGCAAGACTGAACTCTGGAACCTTCCTCTCCAATGGGAACTAGGGTTACAGGAGATATGGCCAACCCCAACTGTTTTTCCTCTCTGCTCCTTGCATTGGGCCCTGAATGTGGTGCTTGCACTTGTAAAAGTGCCCAAAATTTCTGGCTAGAGGATGGAAAAAACAGCCACAAGGAAAGAAAATGTAGCAGGAGCATAAATAAAGAGGAGGCCAGGAAAGCATCAAAGAGTTGGTTATCAATTCCTAGACTCTTATATGGATTCAACGCCATTTTTGCTAACACACGACTTAACTTACCAGCCTTAACCACCAACCTTATCAGACTTAACCTACCAGACTTGCTTAAACTATCAGCCAGGCCACTGCCAAGGTGCAGACTAGTCACTGCATGGAACACACAGGACAGATCAAAACACACTGAAATTACAAACCACAGTTCAAATAAAGTGGGTGGAAACTTGGGGTCTGACCGTGTAACCAGACCAATGCATCCTTCTTTACCCTTTTTATGTTCTGATTAACAAAAGCAAACTACTGAGCAAGCCTGTGACTATAGTGTCCGTGTAAAGAAATACTGTTTGCTTACAATAAATTCCAAAAACTGGCTTTGAAAGTCAAGTGTAGTTGCAAAGTAATGCGGTCCTTCCTGTTCAGCATGATGAGACATTTAAATCTGTTGTAACAAATTGCAAAGAGACACAAAGGGCAGGATGCCCACAGGCTCCAACATATGTGGGCTTCATCTTGATTAAGGAAGAAAAACCAATATCTCCTAACACAATACTTTGTCTCTTTCAGATCTCAGCCAAATATCTCCTGACTGCTCAGTGTCACCAACATCCATTAGTCCTTCCTCATGATAAAGCTGAGCCATGAAGCAAGTTTCCTGTCCAGGATACCCTGTTTAAGAGATCAGCTCCAGCACCTGGGTCATTGTCCCACCCTCCTTAAACACCCTCGCTGAGCTAGATGTCCCAGGGATGCTGATCTGTTCCTTCCTCATCCACTGCAAGAGTAACTTCCCTCTTCCTTTACCCTCATACCTTGCCCTCATCATTTTGATTCAACATTGGGTCCAGGAACATAAGTTTTCATGATAAATAATAAGACATTATTTGCAAGAAAATAATAAGTTAAAGGAGAGTGGATTTCACAAAAGAACACTAGAGAAACAGAAATACAAACTGCTGCGAAAAACAGTTTGACCATTCCTTGAAAATTAAAGAGAATTAGCATATTACCACACAATTTCATTCCTTGGTATATAACAAAATAAAACCAGAGACTCAAACAAGTACATGTTCAAACAGATTCACAAGAAAACTACTTATAGTAGCTAAGAGGCAGAAAAAGATCAAACGCCCATCAACAGGTGGATGCACAAACTGCACATGCCGTATGAGGCCACTTCAAACATTTACAGACAAAATGGAATTAAACACAGTGAGTTTCCCATAAACTTTCTGAATATTCCTTGTTTAAACACAATTGGTATTATTCAGCCATCAAAACAAAGGAGGCACTGATCAAAATGTGCATGGACCTCCAAAACATTATACTAAGTGTAAGAGATTAGACACAAAAGGTTAAACATAACTGATTCCATTTATATAACTCCTAAGATAAAGTAACTAATAGAGACAGATCGCAGATAGTTGGTTGCCAACAGCTAGGGGACACAGAGAACAAGGAGAAACTAATTGTTTAACATGTAACACTTGGGATGGAATACTGAAACTCATTCCATCTGAACAAACAGTTTAACAGGTAAAACTGTATGACCTATTTACTGCTAGTCACAGGTTGAATTAACCCCTTCTGGAGTATGTTTATCCTTTGAAGACCCTCAGAACCCTTCCCGCCTATAGACCACTGCTGGAGCTCTCTCAGTTCTTCAGAGAGGTCTCATTAGAGTACTGAAAGCAAACTGGCCAGCGACTCGTCCCAATTTCAGTGGTCTCTGGTCAAATATGTACAGCGTGGAGGCCGAGGAGCTCCGCACACCAAGAGGTAGGACACACTGCAAAAGTACTACAAATTTCCAAACTTGAGAAGTCAAGAGTAGAAAACATACTAAAAAACAAATACTCCAACAGTAAAGACTTGATAATCACCTTTATTTAGGCAAGCATGTGGGAAGTAAGCAGGAGGGAAGAGAGAGGGGTGAAAAAGGAAAAAAAAGAAAGCCACACCCATTTCAGGATTTGCTACAAAACAAACACAGAAACACCAATCAAAATAGCAAAAACATTCTCAAGTAAACTGCCAAAGTACATTGTTGTAATGGACACCACTAAATTATTCACTCAAATTGAATACTCAACGCTTAAACTCTTGGTTTTAAGAAAAATGACTCCTGGCAAAGACACTGAAGGGAGACTTGCCAATGGCCATTTCTGTAATATATCAATGTGCACACACACTCCATGCTTCTAAAGTAGAATTTTTATTCCTCATCCACCAACCTCACACACATACAAATCACTCCTCTACCACTAATCTTGAGCTAGGTGAGTTAAATTTTCTCCAAGCAGGAATTTACACATAGACACCAAAAGTCACGAGAAGTGAGTTATTTAAAAAACAGGTTCTTGCAGTCTTGCCCCCAAATTTCCTCCCTGTCCTTTGCTGAAGTGTGTTAAATTCCCTATTATCTCAATTTATTTTCATTTTGACTTAAGTCATCCAGAATACATTTCACTTATTTCATGACACGCCATGATAACCCTACATAATACAATAAAATAACCCCAATAAATTTAAATATATTTCTGCATGTAGAGACTCAATTTTGGAAACCTATGTTTATTTTTGTGAAAGTAGAATTAACATACAATCTTAGAAATCAAGTCATCGTGACATTTAGGATCATCCATGCAGGGATGCTGTGGGGTGCGAGAGAGGTCACACCATTCCTTAGGATGCACTTTACTTGCCAAGCTTGGCATTGGCAGCGCCCATTACGCTAGGAACCATCAACATGCTTGGAGTCCTGCCTTCCTAATTACTAGTTGTAGGTACTAGGTAAGCATTCATCTGATGACAACAGAAATTAGCAAATGAAAACTCACAGTGGTAATCCAGTCTGAATCCTGCGAGTAAGAAATGGTCATTACTGTGAAATCTGTCCATTAAACTGAAAACCTATGTTCCAGCTTCCCCAGCAATATAAAACATCTTAACATCTTACAAAGCTGCAGACATTCACCTTCTCCTGGCTTCTCTGTCCAATCCCATCACTGCTAGGCCTCACCTCTCCTGCAAGTCTTGAGAGTACACAAATTAGAAATACAAAGTATCTTCGCATTCACTTCTTCCACCGACTCGCCCAAGCAGTGAACAGAGGGTGAGGAATACAGACATACGTGAGCGGTGTTCAGCAGCTACCCGTCCTCGGAGTCTGCCTGTGGGAGCCAGGAGCAAGTGGGTACTCAATGTGGGACTCACGTGTGGGTGCCACACACAGAACCGCTTGGGCAACACTGCTGCATCTCGGGGCCTCGCTCGGTGGGCAGCAGGGGTTAGGAGTCGAAAGGCCAAGGTGAAAGCTGCACACCGAGCGGAGGTTCTCAAAGGAGGGGGGCGGGTCTCAGCAGCTATATATATATATATATACCCACTCCGAAGTTTAAAGCATTCACTACCTGGATCTTTACAGAAAAATGCTGCCAACTCCTGCTACCAGTTAAAAGGCAGTGAAGTAGAGGAACTGAGGAAGGCAGCATGGTCATTTCACATTCACTAAAGGATTTTATGAACCGGAAACACATTACACAGGAACCCCGCCACCCCAATTTCTGCACTCACATGCGGTGCCCTACATTTCCTTTACTGCAGTTTTCACACCCACCCAAGTGGAGCTGTTTAATTTCCTAGCAATCGTATATTTCACTAGTTCCCTTACTCCTCCGATCCACAAACACTGAAGCTTTCATTTGCAGCTTCAAGTCCTTCTTCAATGAGAAAACTGAAGCAAATACAAAATTCTTCAAACTTCTCACTATTCCTTACATAAACCTACCTACATCTGTGTCCAAAACAATGATTTACATTTCAGTAATGTGCCAGTTCAGCCTGAACTCAAGACTCTGGTTTTACAAGAACATTTAACTAGGACAATTTAACTGGAATCTGGTATTATCTGTACTTTATTTTTAAAGATTTATTTTGTTTTTATTGGACAGTCAGTTATACAGACAGGAAAATATTCTGCCCAATGATTTCACTCCCCAAACGGCCGCAATGGGCGAAGTGGGGCCACCGGGATTAGAACCAGTGCCCATATGGGATCCCGGTGCATGCAAGGCGAGGACTTTAGCCACTGGGCTTCTGCGCTGGGCTGGGCCTTATTATCTGTACTTTTCTTAAGGAATTTCTGTTTTGCTTTGTTTTTTGCAAGAAAAAGTTAAGTTGGCCTCATGACTTAAAATTCCTGCTCTGGCTATATTGTTGGCCTGGCAAATAATAAAAGCACTGTAAAATCAGCCTTTTACCAAGGGGTCCATTTTTCATTCTTTTCATCTCTATGCTGTAAGAGGGTTCAATTAAAAAAAAAAAAAGATTCATTGTCAACACAATGTAACCTATATTTTACAGCAGTGCTGTTTTTTGCTGCAAGAGAAAACAGATGCAAAGCAAGTGTCTGTTGTTATCTGGTTAACTTTCATTACATATCACAAGTTCTAGAAGCTGGTGCTTGCAACTATTTTTGATACAACTAATTCACAAAATAGCAAAGACTGTAATTTAGTAGAGTATTGGAAAACTTTCACACACAAGCCCCCTTTCAACCCCAACCAAGGGCAAGGCTTTTCCATAGCATTCATCATGGCACTGTGGGCACAGGTCATCTGGGCAGCAGTGAACATGGAACGCATTCATCAATTTCTGCTCTCTACAGGAGACGTCCCTACACTTAAGCCCGTAGAACGAGCATACACCGACACAGCGCATCTTCAAGGACTACAGCCTGTCCAGCTTGGTTTCAACACAAACATTCCAAAATGCCCAATAATGTCCTCTCCGCCAAAAAAAAAAAAACCTCAATATTAATAAACAGAAAATATAGTGGAGATGGCATTGGAATTAGAATCGGGCATCCTGGGCATCCCGGGCATGAAGGACCAGCTCATCTCAGAGATGCCCGAACTTCCCCCAAACCGCAGCTGGTGCCCAGGGCTGCTTTGCAGGGACAGTCCAGCAAACACTCCTTCACGTCCCCTCACCCGCTTCCAGAATGTCCTCGTGGACCCAAACGCGATTTCTACACCCTCCCCGCTACCTTCCACATAGGCATCCTAAAAGGTAAAGGACAAGCCTTGCAGCCAGCACCACCACACACACACACACACACACACACACACACACACACACACACACACTCCCAGCCCACTTCGGAGCCCGCAGCTTTTACCTCGTGTGAGGAATTGGGGCGCTATTAGCTCGCTGCAAAACCGTGTCATGAGATCTGCGGAACAGCCCTCGTACCTCAACTCCCTTCCACTCGCTGCAAAAGGATCTGCACCAAATCCCCCAGGGAAAGCGAGCGCTAACGAGCCCGTGGTTGGCAGGGAAATCCACCTCAACAACATTCTTCCTTCTGTCCCCAGAGATCTGCGGAGGACCCAAGGGCCCCCCCGCCTTCCCCCGGCCGGCACCCCACGGCACCCACACAGCGCCGGAGCCGGCCACCCACAACGCGCCTCCCAGGCTTCCCCTCGGCGCCGCTGGCCTCCTTTCGGGGTGCGCGGCACCTCACAAGCCGCGGACGCCTGCGGTTCCACGACCCTCCGCTTCCCGCTCTGAGGAGACGTCCCCTCAGGCTCCCCCTGCCCGCCTCACCTCAGGGCCCCGGCCGCAGCGCCGTCAGGTCTTGTCGACACCCGACAGGCTTCAGAGCTCCGTAACGTGTGTGTGTCTGTGTGTGTGTGTGTGTGTGTGTGTGTGTGTGTGTGTGTCTGTGTGTGAGGCGAGAGGCCGCACGCGTCTCCGCCGCGCCGCCACACACGCCCCTCGCGCCCCGGAACAGGCCGGGCCCGCAGCGCCACTGCCGGGCGCCGCCTCCCGCCTGCCGCACCTGAGGGGCGGGGCTCCTGAAGGCCGGGGCGGGGCGACGCGCGCGCGCCCGGGAAGGTGGGAAGGCGCCCTGGAGGCGGGGCGTCGCAGGGGGCGGGGCGGGGCGAGTGAGGGCCCCGGGAGAGAGGGAAGGCGCCCCTGGAGGCGGGGCGTCGCGGGGGCGGGGCGACGCAGGGGCCGGCCGGGGCGCCGGGAGGGCGGAGCGTCACGGGGGGCGGGGCGCCGGGAGGGCGGGGCGAGCGGGGGCGCGCCAAGCCAGGCCTGCAGGTCTGTCCTCCCTAGGGAAAAGCGCCTGGGAGCTGCCTCCTCTGTGGAAAGCTCACCAAGCTGACACAAACAAGTGTGTTGAAGTCATGGAGCTGAGTGGTTGCCCTGCCGCCTCCTCGGGGGTGGCCTGGTCCTCGGCCCGCTTAACCCGCCTTCTTGGTCACATCTGGGTTTAAGACACTCTGTCCCCAGGTTCTCCCTGCTGCCGTGACATCCGCGGTAGGTGCTGGGTCCTCCTGGCCAGCGCACCTGCTTGGTCGCCCCTTCGACACCGACTGAGGAGCTTGTGCTCCTGAAATTCTGCCGGTAGAGCAGATCCAGAGCTTTCCAGGCAGCTCGTGCCATCTGTGGGCGCTTGTGCATGTCACGCCTGTTTTTGCTAAACATATAAAGTTGCTGTGTTGAGTTGCATTTGCCCAAGTGAACTAAATGGTGATCAAAAGTCACTGGATTTCTTTGGGAAAGAAAAACTCGCACGAATAGTATCCCTGATCTGCCTTTCTGGGTTTCTGTATGGCCACATTTCCTGGCAGTTACAGATTTAAAAGCTTACTTTAAAAATTCTGTGATCCCATATACATTATTTTTTTCTTCGCTCTCTCTCTCTCTTTTTTTTTTCTTCTGCCTCTTATACATAAGCCAAATCTCCACAACATTGACTCTGCTAAATTTTGAGGAGGAAAAGAAAAAGTGGCCTATAATAAACATAGATTATAACGAAGTAGGTAAAATAAAAACTTGCTAACCTGTATTTTCCTGTCAATTCTCCAGCGATACTGCTTTCTGGAATCCTTAGTCTGTTGTGAGGTGACTCGCTTCTGAGTTTCCTTCTCCTTGTGGTGTTGGCATATTTTGTGCTGTCTGCAAGCCTTGAAATACTTTAAAGTGACATGACCAAACTGGTTCCTCTGTCAAGGCTCTCCTGGACCCAAGCAACAGCATCACCTTCTCTCCGCTGCGTAAGAGCTGCCCTCTTGTTCACGGCCTGGATTTCAGTACCTTCTCTTCGCTTAGGCTACGTGTGGGCTGAAAATAGGACATCGTCTTAGATCGATTGGACTTTCCAAGTCTTACGCAGTTAAGTGCGCGGAGAATGTTATTGATAACGCTATTGATGAGAAGGCACGCGTACAGGAAGGAATATGCGAACAGGAGTTTCCCAGCAATGATAACACAGCTGTGGGACTTCTAGAAAATACTGAGACCTTTCAATAACAAGCTGACGACTTGAAAGACACAGATACCTTTACCCTGACAGGACTTGAACAACGTAAAGATGTGACAAATCATCACGTGGGTACCCACGTGCCCCATTTAAAGTTATTTCAGTAAACAAATAGGTTGGCACACATCAACACAGGAATTCTGGCATATTTTATTGTCTTTTGGATAGCAGGCTTGTCTCTTAAAAGCAATTTAATCAAATAGTCTAACCAGCTGCCAAAATCCAGGACTAAGTAGTGGAAAGAAAGATGGTTCGGAGCTTTCGGATGCGGAAATGAAAACAAGTAGTACTGCTCGGTTGTCATGGCAGCAGCCCAACTCCCCACAACTAATTAATAGGGTTTTTCTTTTCTTTCTTTTTTTTTTTTTTTTTGGACGTATAAGTCACAAAGGGAATAGTAGATCATGAAGCTGTAGATTGAAAAATGTAACAAGTTCCCTAGCGGTACAAAATGAACAATGAAACAAAATTTTGACAGCACTTAGGTAGAAAAAGAGAACAAGCCGTGTTAGCCCAGACACCAACTTACACGCTAACCACCTGCTGGTGATTGACGAAGTGTAACTGTGTTATTTCTTAAACTGCAAGCCATCAAAGTCTTATCTAACGGGTGTACTATGAAACTGCGGCTAAGCTTAAGAGCCACATCACCAAATTGTTCCAACATCTTTTGCTAATGTCAACTGAACACATATTGCATGATTATCAATGCATGGAAAGCTATATACAATATTCTAAGTTGTATATTGAACATTATTTATTACTATTTGTTTTAAATTATTTGACCTGCATACAAGCTAAAACAGGTAGTGATGTAGTTTCCAAATTCAGAAGCTTTGAATTAGGTGGCGTTTCAAAGAATTTCAGAGTCGTACCTTTGTATATAATGAGGCATGATAAAACATGCGAGCTTTTTTGACAAGGTAAAAAGGGACCTGGACAGCTTTACCTAGAGTTCCTACCTGCCACAGCAAATGTGGCTCAATTTGTTATTAAATACCTCAATTAAATGACTTATTAAAAATTAGTGCTGGTTCAGAGGGAAGAGAGTTGGAAAAAAAGATAGTATAATTAGCTTGATTTTTACTTAAACATTAGTAAAAGGAATTAAAAGTTGTTATTCTTTGTGTCTTTACATACAGAAAATTTAGTCCAAGACTGATATTTGAAGAGGGCATTATCAAAATTGATAGTTAAAACTCAATTAAATATTTCCCAAACAGCTAATGTTCTTGTTTAGTAAGAACCCCAGCTTCCCAGGTGCACTAAACAAAGGTAAAGAAATCAAGTTATTCTAAAGCAATTAATAAAGCATCAAGCCAGGAGAGATCATGTTTGCCTCAGTGTTGCACTAGGTGGTGCAAATGATAAAATGCTATAGAGCCATCACTGAGAAACAGAGTTACTTGATAACATCAAGAAGAAAGATGGGAAGACTGGACATTTAGAATGGAGAACAAAGAGGCTAATGTTGTAGCACAGTGGAAACAGGCAGCATCTGGGACACTGGCTTTCATTCTAGCTCCCTGACAATGGCCTGGAAAAGCAGAGGATGGTCCAACAGTTTGGGCTTTCGTCCTCAACATGGGAGACCCAGAGGAAGCTCCTGACTTGGTTCTGGCAGAGCCCTAGCCACTATGGCCATCTGGGCAGCAGACTACTGGACCGATCTCCACCCTCCGCACCTCCCTTCTCTTTCTCTCTCTCTCTTCCTCTCTCTCTCTCTCTCTCTCTCTGGAATTCTTTCAAATAAAAAAAATAAGTCTTTAAGAAACAAACAAAAAAAGAATGAAGGATAAATCAGAGGGTACAGATAAGAAAGAAATAAGCCTGCATATGTTTTTGTAAACAGTTAGCAATTTACCTGGAAGAATAGATACAAGTTAAAGACTTACTCATGTTCTCTTTCCCTCTTCAGAATAGAAAATGCACTTTAAATTGGTAAAGGTGAAACAACACAAAAAGGGAGCTGGAACTCGATCCGGGTGAGGAGGCAGTAAGACAATCCCTATCCGTTTCAAATAAGTTCATGTTTCCAGGCACAAATTACATCCCACAGATGTTACAGGTAACCAAAGACCCATTTCTAGTAAATCCTTAATACTGTAAAGAATTTGAAAGATGATGGTTCCCCTGCTTTAGAAAGAATGACATACAAGTTGATAGCTAACGCTGGAAGCTTTAGAATGGAAAGATGCAATTTCAGAGCATATCACTAAACGTTCTGAAGAGTTTGGTAGCACTCTGAACTACAGTAACTAAAATAAATTGTGCCTAAGTTTTATAGTCATGGCACAAGTTACTTTCAGTAAAACACTCAATGCAATTTTCATCATATATTTGTGAATAATATAGTATTGCTATTATAATTAGGTAAATTGAATGTTATTTGGATAACTGCATCCAGATTTTTGTACATGTTTATCACAAATGATGTAGTTTAAAACATGAAAATCATTCTGGTTGAATTAGTGGATGAAGAAAAAAATATGATAAGGAAAACAATACTGAAGACAAAAACCCAAAATTGTTTAAATATATCTGACCTCTGAGGTGAAATCTAAAAGATAAAAATCAACAGAAATTTATGAAATTTTCTATATTCAAGTTGAGATGCAAAACAGAATAGATTTCAGGTCAGCCAGGTAAAAGGCATTCCAGAAGCTGTAGTGTCTGCCAGGATCAATATGAGTTATAAATAAGTCGCATTTGCAAACAGGGTCCTACCTTGCCTCTTTCTTTCCACAATTTTCTTAGAACCAATAGTTCTCCTAGGATGGACAGAATAATGACTGCTGAACGAAGTCCACATACCGATCCCTGGAACCTGTGACTACGTTGCCTTATTTAGATAAGTAGAATTAAAATTATAGATGCACCCATTGTAAAAATGGAGGGGAGAACTGAGGGGAAGGGAGGACACATGGGGAGGGGGAGGGGAGACCCCAGTGCTTATTAAACTGTGTCATAAAATAATAATTTAAAAAAGTATAATTGAGAAGGAAAAAGTTATTTAGGTTTTTTCAGATGCCATGTGGAATAAACAGGTGCCTTCTTGTAATTGATGAGTTTTATAATTATAGCCACAACTGCTTGGGATCAAACTGTTTGAAGATTTTCTCACAACCTACAACTTTTGTGCTTTATTCTACCTAATTTGTAAGCCATCTTGGGGGAAAAAAACATGGTAAGCTTATGTTGTTTGGAATAGCAAGTAATTCTAATCAATTGGTTTAAAAATTTTAATATCTAAACAATTTTAAACTGCTGTTAAAAATTCATTTATTTTATCCCACAGTAAAATCGCCAATTAACATGAATTTAATTTATGTAACTTAAATTACTAATAGACTGTCTTTAAAATGTTTA